GATGAAGAATGGCCTTTGTGCTTCACCTCCTAGCCCCACTCCTGGCCGGGACTGTCTTCAGGGCCATCGCTGCCCCCAGCCCCCTTCCACTACAGGTGCCTCCCCTGCTCTTCTACTGGCTCCCCCTTCACCCCCCTCGATTCAGACAAACCATCTGCTATTTTCTTGACCCAAAGTGCTAGCCCGGACTGAAGAAACTTAAGGAATGATCCGCTTCAGCCTTCTCACTTGAAATGAGAAAACTGGAGGCCTCGAGGGAATGGGCCCCCCCAGAAGCTAGGCCTCCTGATTCCAAAAATACAAGGATCCTACCTTTCCCCAGACATCCACCACCTCTCCTAGAGCTTAATGTTTTGTTGTTGTTGTTGTTTTGATTTTTTAAGTGCATATGTTTTTTTAAAAGGATACTTGACCTTGATGACTTTTTTTTTTTTTTAAAGATTTAGTTATTTATTTATACAAGCACTGGGTACAGCCAGAAGCGTGGGAGGGTGAGAGAATTCACCAGAGCCAGAGCGGGGAGCAGAACAGGCAGAAGGACCGAAGCACACTGCTGAGGGGAGCAGCGGGTGGCAGGAGAGGTCTGCACGTGCCCGGTGGCCGAGGATCGAACCGGCGCTGCAGAGGCTGTGGACAGCTTCACAGCCCAGCGCTCAACCTCTGCGCCACCAGGGGAGGCCCAAGTGCATATTTTTTAAGTGCAAACTTTTTTAAATTTTTTTTAAAGATTTATTTATTTTTATACAAGAGCTGGGGTACAGGCCAGAGATGCGGGGGGTGAGAGGACTCACCAGAGGCAGAATGGGGAACAGAACAGGCAGATTGACTGAAATACACTGCTGAGGGGAGCAGCAGGTGCAACTGGAGACAGGAGAGATCTGCCCCGCCATGTGGGAATGTCCCTGGCCAGCCGGGAATCGAACCCGCGCTGCACAGGCTGCGGACAGCTTCACAGCGCTGCTCTCAACCCGCTGAGCCACCGGAGCTTAATGATCCCCAGCCCTCTTCTGAACCTGCGGAGCCCTCCTCCACCTCATCCTGAGACCTAAATCTACCCCAGCCTTTTCTCCTTCAGCAACTCCCTCTGCCCCATCTTTTTTTTTTTAAAATAGAGGCATATTTTTATTTATTTGTTTGTTTGTTTTGTTTATACAAGCACTGGGTATAGTCAGAAGCGCGGGAGGGTGAGAGAATTCACTGAGCCAGAGTGGGGAGCAGAGCAGGCAGAAGGACCGAAGTACACTGCTGAGGGGAGCAGCGGGCGGCAGGAGGGGTCTGCGCGCCATGTGGGACCCTCCTCCGTGCCCCATCTTCTTTTAATGCTTTCAATCCTCCAGCAGCTCTTGTTAGAGGCTCGGAGAGGTCACTTCTGGTCCTGCATCTCAGAGTAGGCAGGTGATTCAGCTCTGATTCTGCATGGCTGCAAGCCCAAAGCCCCATTTACTGCCCCAGAGCTACCCCCAGGGTGTGCCCACCTCCCACCCCCTGGGATTTGGCTCAGTCCCTTTCCAGAAGTCATAACCAGGCAGAGCTGTATAAGAGAAGAAAAACAATTTCCCCACTACCCTTCTAGGTTCTTGGCAGAGACATTCCCTGTAATCAAAGACAGATTAAGAGGAGAAAACACAGAAGTTTGATTGCTGTCGACCTCCTGTATACATGGGAGAGGCCAGGGAAACAGAGTCACTCTGAAATGGCCCAGCTGAAATACAGCCAAACACCAAAGATGTCGGCGGGGAGGGGAGGGCCCTGTGGGAGGTCACCAGGAAGGGCACAGCCGCCAGGGTAGGGCCCCAGGCAGATTTAAGTCCCTGCCTCCTCATAGGTGGGTTCCCAGAGATTTGCTCATCTTTTTTCTGGAGGGGAGACCCCTCCAAATGGAAAGTTCCCTTAAATATGAAAACGTCTCTTGTGCAAAAGTAACTTGTACTTATTTTCAGGACTTTTTCCTGTGTCTGCTGTTTCTTAAAAATTTAGCCTAAAATAATCCTTATGTCATTGTCACGTTGGAGTGTCAAACTCTGCTTCCCTCCGGAACCTAGTGCATGAAATCCTCACCCCCAAGAGCTCTGTAAAAAGGAAGCAACCTCACCCCACCCATGCACAGGTCCTCCTTCCTCCCCTTCCACCCCGCCTACTGTTTAAAAAAGCAGACAAGGCTAAAGAGGCGCCCAAACGCCCTGCTCCTCTCCAATCGCTGCCATCCAGAGCACCGTGCGGTCCAGCCCAGCCAAGATGAAGCGGGTCTTCTTCCTCCTGCTCACCATCAGCCTCCTGCTTATGATTCAGGTAAGAGCAGCCCCCAGAGCACCCAGCTCCACTGTCCAGGATCCCCAGACCAGCCTGGCTCGGAGGGAGGGGCTCCTGGGCACCCAGCCTTCTCCCTGAGAGCAGGGCCTTGGCGGGGAACCAAGCGCTGGGGGGAGAGGGAGTCTGGCTCCTAGTTTTCCAGCCCGTCTGGGTGGGATCAGACTGCTCAAGGCTGCCCCTGAGCAGATGCCCACGCCCAAGTCTGGGGAGCACTTAACAGAGAGCTGGGCCTGGGGAGACACCACAGGGTGCTGCAGAGTGACAGGCTTGGGGAGACAGCCACGAAGTGGGGCGGCATCAACCCACATGATCCTGTGGGGAGCAGGCCAGGAGACTTTCCAGGGCTTCTTGCTCTGGCTCAGGAGGTGGCCGCCACCCCCTAGGGGAGACGCCTAAGTGTTTGGGATCACAAAGAAGATAGAAATCTCCTGCCCCAGAACAGCTGGGGCCTCAAAATCAACTGCACTTCCAGGAGGCAGCAGTTTCGGCAGCACCCCGTGTGCCCTGAGCTCTAGGCAGTATAGATGGGAGCCGCCCGGCTCTTGATCAGGAACAGCCTGTTCACAGAAAAGCCTGTTCAGCGTCACGAGCCGCTTGTCACAGCCCGGTGGAGCGTTGAGCACATTTTGACCACTGCCTGCCATTTTCTTGGGAAGGAAGTCGCACCCCTCCCACCTGCTCCTCCAGCCACTAGCACTGAGGCTGGTGCCAGCGTTGCCACTGTGAACACCATGACTGTGAGGCTGAGGAGGAGAAAACTAAGGCTCAGAGCGGCACCACTACTGGCCCAGCTAGTCAGGTCACAGCCTCCCCTGCCTCTTGCGGAATGGAGAAGCGGGTGGCCTGGTGGAAGCAAAAGGAAGATTCTGTGAAGGTTGGGCCAGGGACCACCTATCTTTGTCTAGGCAAGCAGCAGCCGGCGTCCCCACAGGACCTTGCTCACAGGGGACAGAGAAGTGGGTGTTCTGGTATCAGGAGAGGTGAATTGTGTATCTAACCAACAAACAGAAGATTCAAAAGCCCCCTGAGCTCGTCCACGTTTCCTCTTGCAGATGTACACTGGAGTCTTAGGAAATGGAACCACCCGCACCAGCAGCACCGCCACCACCAAGAAACCCAGCTCCGGGGCCCCGGCACTCAGCAGCCTGGGTTGGGGCAGTCTTCTCCTCTTGACCAACACTTTCCTCCAACTCCTCTACCTTAGCTGAGGTGGCACGCCTCAGCCCCAGCCCTGTGTCCCCTAGACAGCTGCCACCATCCATCACTAGGACAAGAAGCCCCCAAGCCCTTGGGAGGGATGCATGCCAGCGATGAAGAGGTTGCAGAATTGACACGCAGAGCTTGGGGTCAGCGGCCCGTGCGGATGTGCAGGCACACACACCCTCCCCCTGGGAGGCAATAAAGTTGTCTGTACCAGCAGTGGGAGCCTGTGTGGTCACTGGAATCTCCAGCGCCCTCCCCAGCCCCAGGTTTGCAGCTGCACCAGCGTGCCTCCTAAACCCCCATCAGGAGGAGGGGGCCCCAGAACCCAAATGCTGAGAGCCCCTCCCATCGCCTCACCTGGCAAGGAGGAGGCCCGGCGCCCGCCATCCTCACCATCCCCTCTAGTGGCATTTGCTGCCCCCCTCCATGTTTGGGAATGATGACCCCAGAGACGTCCCTTCCCCTAGACCACAGGCATCTCTAGCTGAGAGGCTCAGAGAGGCTCCGGATGCGGTTGCTGGGTGTCTTCAGAATGACCCATTCAGAGGGATCCGCCATCTTATGGAGTCCCAGCTTCACAAGGTCCCCTTCGTGCTCACAATTCCAACCACAGGGGCTGAGAAGGATGAAGGGGCAGCTGTCCACCTTCCCCCCCAAATTTCCCCCCACACCCCCCAGAGCTGAAGGGCAAACAGCTGCTCTAGCCATTCACTCCTAATCCTCCTGGGTTTGGGATGGTGGCACTGGGATCTGCAGGGGGGGAAGCAAACCTGCAAGAGCCTTGACCATCTCTGCCTCCTCCTTGAGGGCCTCACGGGCCTCAGGGGCCTTCTGACTGGGGACAGGGGGAGCTGCTCTTTTGTGCCCTGCTCTCTTTGAGTGGGTAAGGGACCCAGCCTCCCTGTCCTGACCCAACCAGAGTTGGGGGAGATTGGGAGGAGCCCTGGGAGGCAAGGCCTTCAGGACCGGCTGCCACTGCCCTCTCTGCCACCCACTGTGGCCCCATGACAACAAACTTGCAAGTTTTCACCGTGGACTGTGTGCATTCCTGGAGCACTTTTCCTCTGCTGGCCCCTTCCCGCCTTCCACAGCTCAGCCAAGGGTCCCCTCCTCCAGGCAGCCTGCTCTGTACCTAAGTAGGTTAGGCCATTCCTCTCCCACTTCCATTTTTACCCCATCATTGACGATATCGCCCGACTTGTCATGATCCTCCACTGGACTAGGAGTTCCCTCAGGGCGGGGGACACGGGGATGGGTTCATGTTTGTGTCTCAAAGCCCAATGGGGCGTGCTCCCAGAACACCTCCTCAGGGGTGACTCCACCTCCTCAGGGGTGACGCCACACTCACCAGTTTGTCTGCTCCCGGGGCGCCCTCTGGTGGCAGAGGGAAGCCTTACACCTCAGCCCCAGGAGCAGAACTAGGAGGGAAGAAGCCACCCACGTAGGAAACCTTTACCCCACCCCAAACACCAAGGTGAACAGAAAGGAGGATACGTGGGGGAATATTAGAAAATATCTTATATTACAACAAAAAATATATAAAAACAGGGAAAGCCTCCAGGGCTGGGGCGTTGGGGAAAAGTTCAAAGCACATGGACAGTCCAGATCTGGGACTCCCTGTCCTTGGTCAGCTCCCACAGCACAGCGTGGTCCCGGTCATAGCCACGGCCACCTGGGCAAGGAAGGGAAGAGGTAGGGAGACAGTCAGAGCTGGGGACACCACCGCCCCTATACCCCTCAGGTGCTATTACCACAGATAGCCCCACCTTACCCTTCACATCGAGGATCTGGCCTTCGAACATCTGGCTGCAGATGTGGCCCAATTCATTGATGCTCCAGGTCTGGCGCGGCAGGCGGCTCTCAGCCCACAGAACCACCTTGGAGCCTGTGCTGGCGGGCCCAATTACCTGCAGGCTCATGGTGGGGGCCACCTGAGGCCCCAGGAGGTTGTCAGGCATTGTTCCTTCCCATGGGTACCCCATCAAACCCAACACACTCTTGACACACCGAGCTTTGAGTCCTGGCTCTCACAGACCATGACCTGGGCAAATCTCTAAACCTTTCAGAGCTTTGGGTTCCTTGGGAATGGGAATTCCAAGTTCTGGTTATTGCGCTCAACATGAGGAACCAGAAAAGGGCTGGAAAAGATCAGCTCGACCAGGTACGCTTCCATGACTGACTCTCAAAGCACAGGCTTTTGCATCAGATGGGATGCCACATACTTATTAGCCGGGTAACGTTCAGTTAATTTCAGAACAGAATAAGCTGCCCCACAGCGCACTCTGGGGTTTTATGAGGCACACAGGGGAAGGCCTTCTCGCAGGGCTGGCACACAGCCAATGTGCCCTCGCATTTCAAATGAAAAACAAACCCCTCCAAAAGCCTCCAAAGACCTAGACCACCACGGCCTTGCTGAGTGCACCTCCTGCCACGTCCTCCCTCCCTCTCTTCATCAGCCATTCAGGTGGCCTTGCTGGTGCCCACGCTCGGGGCCTTTGCCCACATGGATCCCTCTGCCTGGGACTCTCCCCTCAGGCACCTGTACAGCTGCCAACCTCCAATGTCACCTTCTCATCTCAGACTACCACTCCCGCCTCTCCTTTCTTGCTTTATTTTTCCTCTCTATGACCCAAGGTCCTAAGGTATTCACTCATTGGAGTTGTTTCTGTTGCCCCTCCCCCCCACTGGGATGTAGCTCAGGAGGGCAAGTGTCATTTTAGTCTTCTCATTGCTGCATTTCCAACACCCAGACTAGGACATGGCACATAGTAAGTGCTCAGGAAACACTTGTGGAGTGCATCCATCATTACTGATAGGATCTGAGTTCTGTCACAGGCTATCAGAGCTGGGAGATCAACCCTCTTGTTTTGCAGATGGGCCCCAGGGAAGAGCCTGAACCAGCCAGGGGTATGCAACCCACTCTCCCCACTTTACCAGCACCCTGGTATCTGTGTGGACCTCTCTGTCTCTCTGGTCCAAGACTGGGGCCTGTCCCTGATTGGGCTGGGACTCCCCAAGGTGGCCTGTGAGTGCCCAGGCCCTGGAGTCCCTGACCCAGCCCCTGAACTGGTACCTGGTTCTTCAGCAGCCCGTCTTCGTAGTACCAGATGCAGCTGCCTCCGGCTTGGGGTTCAGAGACCACCACACGGCCTGCCTTCATGTCCTCCACATGGTCCGGCACTGCCAGGAATCCCCCCAGAGCCGCATTCCAGAGGCGGAAATAAGCCCTGCGCTAGAGGATGGGGGAGCAAGAGTCAGGTATCCCTAGGCAGGGGTGCTCCCACCTGGGCCCTCAATACCCTCAACTCTGGACCCGCCACTCAAGTCCTCCTTCCTGCCCCTAAGTCTTCCTTGGCCTGGCTTCTAAGTCACTCCTTACTTTATACACATATACCAAAAGCACATACATAGCACATACCCACACCACACAGTGCCGTGTCCACAGAGAAACCCACAGACGTGCATAAGGGACACACGGGAAGATACAACCAAGTCCACCTACTTGCACAGAAGTTTGCCAGCAGCAGGCATGAGCACACAGAGACACCAAGACACACGCCTGTAGACACGCACCTACCCAACGCACCAGGCGCCAGACACTTGTTTGCTAAAAGGATGGAAGCACGTAGGACTCCAGACAGCCACACATCCATGCTGAATAGTACCCAGGGAGAACTCTGGAATCAGACTGGAGACTGACACATGTCTGGCTCTGCCACAAATCAGCTGGGGGGTTGGACAGTGGTGACAGTAATAATAATAATGATAATAGTCACAGGTCTCCTTGGTGGCATAGGGGTTAAGTCTCAGTGATATCGCGATCCCCTCTGCGGCCTGAGTTCGATCCCTGGCCAGGGAGCTGACCCACATGGCACAGCAGACCTCTCCTGACCTGCCCGCTGCTCCCCTCAGCAGTGTATTTCAGTCAATCCGCCTGCTCTGCTCCCAACGCTGTCTTTGGTGAATCCTCTCACCACCACCCCCACATCTCTGGCCTATACCCTGATTCTTCTATGCATAAATGAATAAATTTAAAATAATAATAATAATCACTGCTAATGTTCTATGAGTACTTAACCATTCAAGCACCATTCGAAGAGCTGTACACACAGTGTTTATCTTCAACCTCAAAGCAACTCCAACGTGCACATTAGCCCATTTCAAAGATGAGGAAACTGAGGTCCGTAGAGGAACAGTACTTGCACAAGATTGCAAAGCAAATCCTGCTACTTCTGGACCTTTATTTCCCCATCTGTTAAATGTGAGGCTTCGAAATACTCTCCAAGATTTCCCCTAGTGTGACGTCTAAGAGTCTGTGAACACAGGGACCCCACAAACATCGACATGCAAAAATCCCTGCCCCCTCCCCAAGTGTCAAAAACACAGGCAAGCATAATCATAAACACACTCACAAGATATGTACACACATGTCCACAAGTTAGCTCCAGAACACACAGACACACGGACACCCTGACGTCACCGGCACAGAAACACCCTCCAGACCCACACTGGCACGCACAGACCCACAAGCACCTGCGCACAAATGCGCATGTGCAGTCTCCCAGCTGAGGGGTGCTGACAGCACAGGGGGCGTTTTCAGTCCTATGTGCATAAACTTATTTTTTTTAATTTAACAGCAATGTTTTTATTAAAATATTAAGGGGAAAATGATGCACAAACAGTGCACATGATCTTCTGGATAATATTCCATAGGATAAGGAGGAGGTTAAAAAAAAAAAGTTAGGTTGACACAGACCCAGTGAGAAAAATATTAAACAGAGGCATGACGACGTGGCCAAAATGACAACAAAAGTCTGCAAATGCTGAGTCTGGCACACTCCCAAACTGGCTGGCACACGGGCTCCACCCAACACGCCACCTACCTGCTTGATGGGGTAGAGGGACCCCACGCGCTGGGTCCCACTGTAGGTCAGCCAGTTGGTGATCTCGCAGCTGCCCACCAGCCACTGGCGGCCCCGGAAGTCACTGTGCTCACACAGCACCCAGCTGGGCCCAGCAAGCCCCAGGGACACGAAGGAGGACAGACAGTCGGGAGGGGAGGCAAAGGAGACATGGATGTCAGAGCATTCTCCACCTCCTTTTCTCTCACGCCAGGACTCTCAGCCTGGGGTCAGAGTCCCCAGAGGGGACAGGAAGGCTGGGAAGTAAGTTTGGGGTTTACAGGGCAGAGGAGGGTCCTGGAGAAGCCCCAGCTGGGGTCCAAGCCCTGAAGGCCCAGAACTCTTCCCAGTCTGCGTCTGTTCCCTCCCCCTTGGGGTAAGGTAGAAGTGGAAGGTGGGAGAGAGGCCACAGACCCCACCTCACTCGCTGGCAGACCCCTTGCCTGGGCGGCCCCACCACACACCCACCTGCCGCCCTTGATCCGCACAGACAGCACGTGGTCATTGAAGCCCTCTGCTTGCAGGCTCCGTGCCTCCCCATGGAGCTCGATCTCCTTCCCCTCGAAGCACTCGAGTCCATACAGGAAAATGGAGGGCTCTGAAAAGTGCTGGGGGTTCGGGCACAGCAGGAAGGGGTGATGTGACTCAGACACCCAGGTGGACACCCTGACTCCCAAGCCCTCTTTCCTCCTGAGCACCCCATCTGCCCTGCCACGGGGCCTCTGACTCTAGGACACTGCCAGCTAGGTGGCCCCCAGATCTTCAGCCACAATCTGTGCCAGGCTTGGCCTCCCACACCCCCTTAAATTTCCTTTCTGGTAAACAGCCCTGCTAAGAATAGTAATCATAATACTGTTAATTATAGCAGTTCTCATTTATTCAGGGGTTACTACAGGCCAGATTCTGTGCTAAGCCCTTGACTTGATCTTATTATAACTTCTTGACAACCCTATACGGTAGCTGCTATTATAAGCCCCATTTAACAGACGGGAAACTGAGGCTGGAGGTCAGCCATGCGCTCAAGGTCCTATAGCTGGTGCAGAATCAGGTCTGCTGTCTACAGAGCCCTGGTGTGAAGAGCTTGGACACTCGAGCTGCCTTGGGGAGAAACTGGCTCTGCCTGTATCCAGCCATGTGACCTGGAGCAAGTCACATATCCTGTGTGCCTCAGTTTCCACCTCTGGAAAAAGGCGATGATAGTAACACACCTCTGAGGGTTGTGGTGAGGATTCAGTACCATATAGCGGTCCCCCTTATCTATGGGGGATACATCCCAAGACCCTCAGTGGATGTCTGAAATCATGGATGCCATCAAACCCAATATGTACTATTTGTTCCTATATATACCTACCAACGATGAAGCTTAGTTTATAAATTAGGCACAGTGAGAGATTAAAAACAATAAGTAATAATAAAATAGGGAAATTATAACAGTATACTGCAGTAAGTTATGTGAATGTAGTTTCTTCTCTCTCTCCCTCTCTCTCTCCCCCTCTGAAAATATGTTGTTGCACAAGCTATTTTTGGACAAAGGTTGACCACCGGTAGCTGAGACCACTGGCAGCTGAATCGACTGTAGCACTTGAACAGCCCATCATACAGCCTGAAGGATGCTGTCGGCTATTCTGCTTATGTGCCCTGCCACTGGCCCAGCCAGCCAGTCACCACATCCTACAGGCCTAGTTCCTTAATGTGGCCGCATCACTTCCAGGTCTCATCGCAGAGCACCGTTTGCTTTGGCTGGCTGTAGCAGCAGCCCCACGGCCTGGGCCCCTCCCCTCCGCTCCCCTGCAGCCGCAGAGCCTTCATTCTGCTGCGTTCCTTCCTGCACAGAACCGCCACCTCAGCAGCCCGGCCAGCCCCCCAGTTGACCCCAAGAACCAGTCCCTCCTGTCCCTGCTCCACTTCTGGATCTGGACACACCACCCCATGCTGGTATCTTCATGTCCATGTGACTCAGGGATCCTGAAAGGTGTCTGGTTTATGTCAGTGTCCCCAGGCCCTCTCTCAGCAGGTGCTTGATACAGCTCTAGTAGGCTGAACTGGCTTTGAAGCCCTGGTCAAGGGGACGGAGGGGGGGAGCCTAAGAATTCAACCCCAGCAGCCTATTCACAGTGATAAGAGATTCCATATCCAGGACGCCCCCAGCAGCAAGCCCAGGCTCAGAGATTGAATGAACTAGACAGGGGTGCTTACCAGGGGCACCTTCCGGAGAGAGCCCAGGACTGTGGAGGTCAGACAGCCCATGGCCGTGAGAGTGGGGAACTCGCCCTCAGAAAGAATGTGCTGGTCACCCTCAAAATTCTTCTCATCAAACAGGATCCAACTGGGAAGGGTAAGAGTTGGGAGTGGTAAGTGCGTATCTGAGCCTGTCCTGTCCTCAGCTTCCCCAGGCCCCCTGAGGTACAGCGGAGCAGAACCAAACTTGATGGTGATCCCCCAGTCAGGGATCAAGGAGGAACAGGTACTGCAGCAGCAGAGACCAAGGTCAGACTTAAGACAGGGCTAAACGAATTATGCCTATAGAGAAAAAGCTGGCAGCGTCAAGAAAAACTCCACGCACAGTCATTCAGCAATCCCAGTTTTTGGAATCTATCCCAAGGATATCCTTCAAAAACATGAAATGACACATGCAGCCCAAATATCCATTAATAAGTGATTGGTTGAACAGACTAAGAATCTGGGGTATAATACAACAATTAAAATGGAATGAGAAAGAGTTTTAAAGGGATATAAAATGATCTCCAAATTATTAAGTGAAAAAAAAAAGAAGCATCTAACAGTGCTTATAGTATGCTTCCTTTTTAAAACCTGAGATACAATTTGCATATGATAAAATTTACTATTTTAAAGTGTACAATTCAATGGGTCTTTAGTACATTCACCAGGCTGTAATAGGCTTTTTGTGGAAGGAAATGGGGGAATGGAGGAAATAAAAGACATTTGATTTCTAAAGTTATATGTCATTTTAGAAATGAGTGTATATATAGGAAATGGTGGACGTCGGTTCTGCTCCCCATTGTGTCTCTGGTGAATCCTCTCACCCGCCGCACCTCTGGCCTACACCCCAGGTCTTCTGTGCATAAATAATCTTTTTTTTTTTTAATTGCCTTTTCTTTATTGACTTGGATTCTTATTGACTTGGATCCTATTTTTTCTTTTTCTTTTTTTTTTTGCACAGAAGACCTGGGGTGTAGGACAGAGCTGAGGTGCAGGGGGTGAGAGGATTCACCAGAGACAGAGTGGGGAAAAGAACAGGCAGACTGACTGAAATACACTGCTAAGGGGAGCAGCGGGTGAGAGGAGAGTCTGCAGCACCACTGCATATATAAATAAATCCTAAAAGAAAGAAAGAAATGGTGGACAAATAAAATAAACATTAAAAAAGTGATTACTTATGGGGGAGGGAGGGAGGATATTTGTTTTAAGTCTTGACTTTGGAATTGCTATTGACCGAATGTTTGTGTCTCCTCAAAATTCATATGTTGAATTCCTCACCTCAATGGCTTTGGGGAGGTATTAGGTTTTGATCAGGTCATGAGGGCAGTGCCTCCTGACAGGATTAGTGCCTTAATAAGAAGAGGAAGAGACAGGCGCTCTCATTCTACCATGTGAGGACTAACAAGAAGGCAGTCACCTGTTAGCCAGGAAGAGAGCCTTTACCAGCAAGAGAATAAGCCAGGACACCGGGCCTCCCCGGCCAGGGAGCTGACCCACATGGTGCAGCAGACCTCTCCTGTCTCGCCCACTGCTCCCCTCAGCAGTGTATTTCAGTAGATCTGCCTGTTCTGCTCCCCATTCTGTCTCTGGTGAATCCTTTCACTATCACCCCGCACTTCTGGCCTACACCTCAGTTCTTGTATGCATAAATAAAAATAAATATTTAGGGCCTCCCCGGTGGCGCAGCGGTTGAGCGCTGGGTTGCGAAGCTGCCCGCAGCCTCTGCAGCGCCGGTTCGATCCCCGGCTGCTCCCCGGCCACCGGAGGAGGGTCCCACATGGCACGCAGGCCTCTCCTGCCGCCCGCTGCTCCCCTCAGCAGTGTACTTCAGTCCTTCTGCCTGCTCTGCTCCCCGCTCTGGCTCTGGTGAATTCTCTCACCCTCCTGTGCTTCTGACTGTACCCAGTGCATGTATAAATAAATAAAAATAAATTTAAAAAAATAAATAAATAAATAAATAAATATTTAAGGGGTTAAGATGCAACCTATGAAGCTATCCACAGCCACTGCAGCATGAGTTCGATCACCAGCCAGGGAGCTACCCACATGGTGCATCAGACCTCTCCTGACTCACCCGCTGTTCCCCTCAGCAGTGTATTTCAGTCAGTCCGTTGGTTCTGTTTCCCCACTCTGTCTGGTGAATCCTCTCACCCCCCATGCCCACACCTCTGGCCTGTACCCCAGTTCTTTTTTTATTTTTAAAGATTTATTTATTTATTTATTTATACAAGCACTGGGCACAGTCAGAAGCACGGGAGGGTGAGAGAATTCACCAGAGCCAGAGCGGGGAGCACAGCAGGCAGAAGGACTGAAGTACACTGCTGAGGGAAGCAGCGGGCGGCAGGAGAGGTCTGCGCGCCATGTGGTACCCTCCTCCGATGGCCGGGGAGCAGCTGGGGATCGAACCGGTGCTGCAGAGGCCGTAGGCAGCTCCACAACCCAGCGCTCAACCACTGCACCACCGGGGAAGCCCTGTACTCCAGTTCTTACATGCATAAATAAATAAATCTAAAAAAGAGAAGTATTCCAGCTAATATATATATCAGGAATTACAAAAATTAGAAAATGATCATTTTGTAAACTTTAAAAAAATAATAATGGGGCCTCCCTGGTGGTGCTAGGGGTTAAGCACCATACTATGAAGCAATCTGCAGTCTCTGCAGCATGAGTTTGATCCCCGGCCTGCCAGGGAGAAACCCACGTGGTGCAGCAGACCTCTCCTGTCTCACTTGCTGTACCCCTCAGCAATGTATTTCAATCAATCTGCCTGTTCTGTTCCCCACTCCGTCTCTGGTGGATCCTCTCACCCCCATATCACTGTCCTGTACCCCAGCTCTTGTATGTATAAATAAATAAATATTTTTTAAAAAGGAAGACAGAATATTAAAAAATAATAATACTAATGATTCTAGGCAATTATCATCAATGGGTTTCTAAACACCATTAGGTGAAAGGCAAATGTGGGGTGCTTCCCTAGTGGCGCAGGAGGTTAAGTCTCAGGACTATGAAGCAATCCACAGCCATTGGAACATGAGTTCGATCCCCACCAGGGAGCTAACCTACGTGGCACAGTAGACCTCTCCTGTCTCGCCTGCTGCTCCCCTCAGCAGTGTATTTCAGTAGATCCACCTGTTCTGCACCCCACTGTCTCTGGTGAATCCTCTCATCCCCCACCTTTGCACTCCAAGCCTACACCCTAGCTCTTATATGCATATTTTTTTTTTTAAAAAGGCAAATGGGGACTCTCACAATGCAGTGCTCCTAATATCATCTCATGAGGAACAACCATACATCTCCTGATGTGATTCAGTGGGAAGTGCCCAGAACCACCTCTATACAGACTACTGCCAACAAAACAACAAAACACCCTGAATCTCACCAGGTCCCTAGATCTATCAGTTTGTAGGAAATGTTGGGGACAGAGGAACACATTAACAGACACCAGCAGGAAGCAACCAGCCCCATATAAAAGATATAAAACTTATAGGGTAAATTATTTTCTTCCAACAAATAAATGGTGTAAAATAAAAAGAAAGGGAGGGAGACAGTTATCAGTAACCAATTCAATCAAATACAACGCATGGACCATGTTTGGATCTTGAGAAAAACAATTTCACAAGACATTTTTTGGAGGCAGAAATTTGAACATGGACTGGGAATTTGGTGATCTTAATAAATGATTGTGAATTTTATTAGATGTGATAACACCTGTGCCTATGTGGGCCTATCCTTTCTTACTAGAGATAGGTATTGAGGTATTTAAATGTGTAATTTCATGTTGGGTGGGGGATTTTAAATACTCCACTAAAGAAAAAAAAAATCAGAGGGTAAGTGGAGCAAGATTGGGGTGCTTTATACTATGCAACCTACAAGGCTTACTTTTTCCATTCAAATTTTATTTTGCTTTCTTTTAAGACTTAATGGCTGGGGGCAGAAATAACTAGTCTCAAGGAAGCAGAAGGAAGGAAATCATTTGAAAGCTAGACCCCTGTCCCGCAGCCTGGGTTTCCAAACTGAGGTAAGCCCTTCCAGCGCGCACCCCCGGCCCTGCTCCCCCACGAGCTCACCTGCACCCCTCTCCAGCCCCGCTCCCCCACGAGCTCACCTGCACCCCTCTCCGGCCCAGCTCCTCCACGAGCTCACCTGCACTCCTCCCTGGCCCCGCTCCCCCACAAGCTCACCTGCACCCCTCCCCGGCCCTGCTCCCCCACGAGCTCACCTGCACCCCTCTCCGGCCCAGCTCCCCCACGAGCTCACCTGCATTCCTCCCCAGCCCTGCTCCCGCAGGAGCTCACCTGCACCCCTCCCTGGCCCCGCTCCCCCTCGAGCTCACCTGCCCCCGTGGACGCGGCAGGACTGGGGCTGAAAGGAGAGAGGCAGAGAGGGCTGGTCATCCTCGAAGGAGATGTGCTCACCCAGGAAGTCGGGGCCGTTGAAGAGCTGGATCTGGGGAGAGAAGGGAAGAGATGAGGGCGAAGGAAGCGATGGGGTGGGGCTGGAAGAATGGGGGGTGGGGGGCGGTAGACACGAGGAAGAGGAGACACAGGCCACCACCAGGGCCTTACCTTTGAGACAAAGTGCAGATTGTGCTCCCCGACCTACAGGGAGGAAGCAAAAGTTTTGAGACTTCAAGAGACACCTCAGCGATTCTGATTTCAACATTGCTGACCCCAGGGCGGGGCTCCCGCCTCCCGCGGGCACTAGCCCCGCCCTCCATGGGACACGCCCACCTCCAGGCCCCGCCCCTCGTGGAGTCCCCGCCCCCGCGGCTGGCGCGCACCTGCAGGACCGGCTGCAGCGAGGCGAGGGCGCTGTTGCCCGCGCCCCAGTCGTCGCAGTTGCGGTACACGCCCTTCTCCAGAACGTACTGCTCCCCGGAGAAGCCCACCTCCTGATAGGCCACCCACCTGCAGGAAGGGCAGGCCGCGGGTCAGCGGGGAAGAGCCCTCCACTCTTCGGGCGCCGTCCCCTGCCCGCCCACCCGGTTCCGGAGCGGGGTCACTCACACGCCGCTGAGCACGTGGATGGCCTGCGTGTGGGGGCCGTGTCGCGCCAGCTCCACGTCCGGCAATGCCTCGCTCACCTCCACGTGGTGCCCCTCGAAGTCCATGGCCTCAAATAGCACCACGGCCGGGTCCCCGAAGTCCTGGGTCCCAGGGACAGTCAGGTGTTGCCCACCCAGCGATGGAAGCCCCTGGGAGTGCCCAGACCCCGGGGACGCTGCCCATCAGGGGGCTTGGGCGTGAGGCCATCAGTGTGGCTTGGGGAAGAGCAGCTGCAGGGAGAGGCTAGACCTCAGGGGACGCTTCTGGGTGCTCTGGAGAATGGGCAGAGGGCCCGGGGAGTCTTCCCCCAAGGCACTGTTCCAGTCTGGCTGTGGCCAGAAGCAGAGGGATGCCCCGCTTGCCCTTGCTTACCGTCCGGATGACCCTTAGGGAGGTCAGCACCTCGTCATAGCCTCCCCAGTGTGACCAGTCAGCATATTCCCCTTCCTCCAGCAGATACTGGTGTCCTCGGAAGCCCGCCTTCTCATAGCCCACCCAGCTGGGGAAAAGGAAGCTGGGTAAGACAGCTGCCCTCACCCCTAGGCAGCCCAGCTCACCCCTGAGGTCAGAGGCCAGTGAGGGGGATGAGGTAGGAAGAAGGGTCCGGAGTCCTCACCAGCCTCCAAGAACTCGAAGGGACCCCACTGAGTCCAGGTGGGGGCTCTGGCTGTCCTCTGGCTGCTGAAGGTTGTAGATGTCTCGGCTCACTTCCCAGCTGCGGCCCTGGAAGCCTGGAGACTCATACACCACAGCCTGGAGAAAGGGGGGTGTCAGGGTGGAGGGAGTCATCTGGACCCAAACATACCCAGCTAGCCCATGAAGGCTCTGCTCAGCACCAGCCCAAGCCCTCCCCCTCTCTCACTGGGCCTCTAGCGTCACCTCATTTGTGTCTCTTGACTCACCCCAGACCCAGGGAGCTCACGGAGACCTACCCTCCCAGACCCGGCTTCTGGCCCCCAGTGCACTCCTCTCCTGTCTCCTAGACCAGGCCACAGTAGCCTCCCAACCCCGTACCACCCAACAGCCCTCCTTAACCCTGAAACCAGACTCTTACCTTGGGCTCCCCTGGCTTCTCCACGCTTGGGCAACCCTGAGGAAGAGATAGAGCTAAGACCTCAGCCCAGGGCATTAGTGGGGAGACACCTGGGATAGAAAGCCTAGGATTTACTTAATCCTGACACCCCCCCCCAAAAAATGGTGGATCCCATGTCCTACTTCTCCCTACCCCCGGCTTAGTCTCATTCCCCCGTATCCTCCATCCCATTCCCAGTAGGAACTCCAGGCCCTGCCTCACCCCAGGAAGGGGTAAAACTGCAGGACCATCTGCTTCTTTTCCTTTTTCCTTTTCTTTTTTATATTTAAAGAGCAGGTTTATTAGGAAAGGGATAGGACAGTAAAAGACACTTGCATAGACACAAGCGGGCAGAAAGAGCTGCCCCAAGAGGGATAGGTTTACTAAGAGAGGCCTGCATGGTTGCAGGCGGGAGGCCTTGAGGAGAGCTGCCTCCACTAAGGGAGGTCAGTGAAGAGAAGTCCTGGCATGGTATCATGGGCAGGAAGATGCTGCCCTGTAGAGGGAGAGAGATGGTGAAAGGAAGCACCTGCATAGTCACAGGTGGGCAGAGGGAGTGCTGCTAGGACCATGCTTCTTACCAGTCTCATGGGTTTCAATGAGCCCATGCTGGGGTCTGATATACCCCAGGCCTCTGAGGTGGGGTACTCTCCAGGCTCCAGGAGGCAGGGGGTACCTTCAAAGTAGGGTTTGGGGTACAGCAGCCACCTGGGGGAAGGCAGAGAAGCAGTTGTACCCCAGATGCCTAGGGACACAGATTGGTGGAAGGGAATGTTTAGAAGGGAGAAAAGGGTTTGGGGCAAGAGGCCCCATCAAGGGGACTCAGAGATATTTCAAGCCCCATAATCTGCTGGAGGTGGGCCACTCCCCACCTACAGCCTCCCTTCTTTTGGCCTCTAATTCACACAGCAGCTGGAGTGTTCTTTCAAACACACATACCTGCTTAAAGACACCTCCACTCGGTAGCTCCCCTTAGGCTCACACTACAGCCCAGCTGCACAAAAAAGGAGGTCCTGCCCTCCTCCTGGACCTCACAACTCTCAGTTTATAGCCTCATTGCCCAGACTGAACTTTTGAAGCGTAGCTCTCCCACCTCTGTGCCTTTGCAGATGCTGTTCCCTTTGCTGGATATATTTTCCCCACTCATTCAACTAATGGAATATGTGGGGATATCTACCCTATGCCAGGCTCTGCTGAAGGCACCAGGGATAGAGTAGTAAGCACAAAATTACTTGAGGAGCTTAGATTCTTCTAGAGCCAACTCATCTCAGCGGAGACGTCTCCTCCTCCAGGAAGGCTTCTCTGACTTCAGGCTGGTGTGATGATTCCTGTGCTCCCACAAACCTGTGCTCCCTCATCCCAAAATTCTGCATTGCTGCTGTGCACTTGCCTCTCCCTACAGTCAACTAGACTCTTCTTGAAGGTAAGGGTTTTGTGCTGTCACCTCTGTGTCCCTAAAACCCAGCACAGTCAATGTTCAGTGAAAGGCTTCCAGAACTGCCCAGACTCACAGTCCTGCAGAGACAGTGGCAGATGCCACCTGCAGGGCCCCCTCCAGGCATTGGGGATTCTCCAAGGCTTCATTGAGCTTCACTTGCTCCCCCTTGAGGCCCTCCTCAGAGTACAGGGTGATCAGTGGGGTAGCGTAGTCCTGCAGAAGGAGATAGGACAGTAAAATGTCAGTGCCTCAGAGACCACGCCTACCAGCACCTGTCCCCAAGCCTGTCCAGCCAGGGCTCCACGGGCTTCTGGAAAACTCTGCAGCTGTTTCCCCAGAAGCCAGGAGGGTACCTGGGATGTTCCCAATAGACAAGACCGAAACCAAAGTTTTTCCCTCCCACACTAGACCTTTGGGACCTGAAACCAAAGTTCCCAGCCAACGGTGCCTGCCAAGTGCCAGCGCCCTCTGCCTGGCCTCTGGCGAGCCTGACTTCCAGCCTGGTGGAGGGTCGGGCAGGCCATACAGCTTCCTTTCTGTGCAGTCCCTGCCCCGGTCTGGACCAACCTGCACAGGCAAGCCCCTCACCCCAGGAAGCCGCAACCTCAGCATGCTGGTCCTTCCTCACAGGGCCATTTTGTTCTCTCACTCCTGCACCAAATGTCTCTGAAGCATGTGCTGAACCAAGGCTGCGCTCAGGGCATGTCTGACCCCGTTTCACTGAGCGTTCCCAATGGGAGTTATTACTCCATTCCCAGAGGAGCGTGAGGCCCAGCCAAGGGAAGCACCGCCCGGGGCACACAGCGGCACAGAGCGCGGCAGGCCGTGTTCACTGTTCAGCCCAGCACCTCCCACAGCCTGGATGCAGGCTCCCACGGCCCGGACGCAGGCGCACGCCTGATCGGCACCCAATCAATGCAGGGTCAATCAGATGACCCCAGGGCTGCCTGACTTCAAAGCCCTTGTTTTTCTCTCGTAACTCATCACCACCCACACGAAGATAAATTTATTGGGAGAAGCTCACAATAAATTGTCCACAAACATGTGTGTGTTTCCCGGGAGAGGCTTTGAAAAGTCTTCTCCCCCTTTGCACGGCTGGGCTGCTGCCCTAGTTAAGACTCATCAGCTGTTGTCCTCTCTTGCCAGGAAGATTGCAACAGCTCTGAAGGTATTTATCCTTTCATTGCAGAAAACAGCAACAACCCCAAATGCCTAATAGATCCTGCTCTTAGCGTTACTGCTTTCTCTTCTGGGTCTCTAGTGGCCAGGGCGGGTTTGTCAACTTCTTTTCAGTCGTTTGTAAATTGGTATTATGAAAACAATGTTGTTTTGTTCCTACTTTACAGATCTGAACCTACAATATTGCTTTCCATATAAGGACAATAGATATTATAATCATTATATAATATGTTTGTGTATTATTGATAATAAAATCCATAATAAGCAATATTAATATAGACAGTAGACATAGGTATATAATATTAGCCTTTTCAAACCACCCATCCCTCCCACCAAATGCAGAGATGCTCCTCAGCTGGAAATCACAGCCCTCGCTGGACTTTCCCTAGGATCCCCACCCTGTCTTTTCTCCTGGCAGCCAGAGGGATGTTCATAACTTAATCTGGTTATGTGCCCTTCCTACTTTCAACCCAACCCTCCCCCCCAGCTTGAGCAGGATTCCTGTAGGGCAGAGAGCAGGTCTCCCTCACCCGCTCATTGCCTGGCACAGTGCCTGGCACAGCAATATTAACAAGCCCGTGAGCAAAGGAATGAAGAGGCGCCAGTGGCCCCTTGGAGCTAACTGTGGGCCTGATAGCCTAGGCCCTGGGGGTGGGGGGTGGGGGGGGTGGGCCCTACGGAATCCATGGTGCAAACCTCCTGCTGTCTGGATAGGGACAGGCTGGGAGACACGGCCTGGCACAAGTCACACCGCATGAGGCCTCAGACCCAAGCCCCTGGCCTGGAGATTCTCCTTCCAGCACCTTCCAAACCCTGGCCCATGAGGCCAGAACCCTCCCTTGCTCCCCCCCTTCCACCCACCTATTTCTTTGGTGCTAACTGAATCCTTCTCCAGCACCAGCTCAAACTCCCCAGGCTGCTTTCCCAAGTTGGGGCTTGGCTTCTGCCTGGCCCCTGTCTTCCCAAGCCAGGCTGAGTACCCACAAGAACCCCTTTCTCCCCAAGTTGCTCAGAGGTCAGGAATCCATGGGGCAGTCTATATGAATCCATAGGGGAGCCTGTCCCCCCATCCTCTGTCCACCCTGCTCTTCTCCCCACCCCCGTGATCTCCCTCTCAGAGACCCCAGCTCCAGGTATGGAGGCCGTCTCTTTCCTCAGGGCTCAGGGCCCAGGGTAAAGGGGCATTATCTGGCTCCCACCCCAGCCACTCACCCGGACAACCCTCCTCAGGGAGCCGATGCCTTGGGCAGTCCACACTGACCCGCTGGCTCTGAGTTCCGCATCTCCTTCAGGCAGGACCAGCTTCTGACCCTGGAACTCTGGTTCTTCATAGAGTATCCAGCTGTGGGCGCAGAGACCCCCGGTCACCAGGTGAGGAGAGTATGCCGGCATAAGGCAGGCTCTGGCTGGTGAGGGGGATTCTGCCAGGTTGACCTGGCCACTTCCCACTGCCCACACCTCCCTGGTTCACGAGCAGGACGTTCCACACTCACCAGCCTCGAACGACCCTTATGGAAGCTACATGGGCCCAGGCGGAGGCATCAGCAATGTCTTCCCAGACCTCCCTGCTGCTGCCACGGCAACCGGGCTCCGAGAAGAGGACCACCTGGACAAGGCACATGGAGGACCTCAGGCCTTGACTCCGCCCTCCTGCCTCCCCCACACAGCTCCCACTCCCTTGCCTCCACCCTCCTACCTTGCCAGGCCTGGTGTTCAGCTTGTTCTGGGTCTTCAGTGCTGGGCTCTGTGGTAGAGGGTGGGGATAAGAAATCTTAGGGATGGTCTTCTTAGTGCCTCCCACACATGCCATGCTGAGGATCTCAACCCCCTCTGGCCTCCACCCCCAGAGCTGGCCCACAGAGGATGCCACACTTGTTCCCAGCCCCTAGGGTCCTCAGCGGCCTGGTCCAGAAGCTGAGTGTCTGTTGTGTCTCTTCCGCAGTTTCCCCAGATCACAGCCACCAAGCCCTACGGAATCCATGGTGCAAACCTCCTGCTGTCTGGATAGGGACAGGCTGGGAGACACGGTCTGGCACAAGTCACACCGCATGAGGCCTCAGACCCAAGCCCCTGGCCTGGAGATTCTCCTTCCAGCACCTTCCAAACCCCGGCCCATGAGGCCAGAACCCTCCCTTGCTCCCCCAGGGCCTCACTCACCCACCCCTCCAGGGGCTGGGGACACTCAGGCTTCTCGGCCAGCGGCATGTCGTTGCAGAGCAGAGGCAGTTGTCCTGGTGCCTTCCTGAGCCCTGGTGACTTGTGGGGCGGCAGCGTGGAGAGTTTTGTGCCCAGAGGTTCCAAGGTGGATGTCTCCTTGGTGCCAGACATCAGACTGCCAAAGAGAAGACTGCTTCCAAGGCGGGACAGGGGCCTGCTGCCGGCTTGCCACTCCAACCCCAGCTCTGGGTGGGAGCCCTTGGAACCTGCTACATGCTTCTTCATCATCTCCAGAGGGGAGCTGGAGACCTGGGGGGGCCTGGCAGAGCAGGACTCCCAGGGGAGGCTGGGCTCAGCTTTCTCCTGCTTGTGCTGCAGCTTCTCCTCGTGGCTTAGGTAGGGGTTCTCGATTTCTTCCTCCTTCTCTTCCACCTCCTCCTCCTCCTTCTCTTCCAGTGAGGGCACCTCCTGGGGACCAGGTCCCAACACCCATGGCCCGGACTGATCCTCTTCGATGGCGGGCAGTGTGGCGTACATGGCCAGGTAGGAGGAGCGGGGAGCCCGGGGCAGTCGGTGAGTGCGGAGGATCTCTGGGGTCTCCATGCTCCGAAGGGTGTCCAGGAACATCTCCAGGTCAGCGGTCAGAGCCCCCTCCTCCTCCTCCACTGATGGCCCTGAAGGAGTCTTGCCCTCACTGGAGTCAGGGACAGACTGGGGCCCCAGGTTGGTCTCTGTTCCCATTGACACGGGGGCAGAGGGATCTCCTGGGCTGGGAGACATCTTGTCCACTGAGGAGGGGACAGGGAGAATAGCAGGAGCCTGCACATCCTCTTTTTGAGAGGGAGATGAGATGGGGCTCCCTTTGGAGCCCTGAACAACCTTATCCTGTTTGGGAGATGGGCTAACAGGAGCAGGCAGATCTTGAACCATCTTTTCCTTGGTGAGGGGAGTGGCCAGGCTACCTTCAGTATCCTGGATAACCTCTTTGGGAGTGCTAGGGCTGCTCTCGGTGCACTGGACGACCTTGGTTGGTTTGGGGGATGAGGCAGTAAGAGCATCAGGCAGGGTATCCAAGAAAATCTCCAGGTCAGGAGTCAGGTCTGCCTCTTCCTTCTCCCTCGATGACTCAGAGAGCATCTTGCCCTCAGTGGAGTCAGGGGCAAGCTGGGGCCCCAGGCTGCCCTCTGCTCCCATCAGCACTGTGGCAGAGGGGCCTTCTGGGCTGAGAGATTCCTTGTCCACTGAGGAGGAGGGGGCAGGGAGAACAGCAGGAGCCTGGACAACCTCTTTTTGAGTGGAGGTTGGGTCAGCAGGGCCCTGTACTATCTCTTTCCGAGTAGGAGAGACGATAGGGACATTTTCAGAGTCCTGAAAAACCTTATTCCGTGGGGAAGATGGATCAAAAAGACCTCTTAGGCTGGAGACAGCCTTCTTTCTTATAGAGGATGGAGCAAGAGGTTGTTCAGGAGCTGTAACAACCTCAATCTTCACCATGGGCAGGATGGTGGTAGCAGGGGAATCTGTGAGTCCTTCCCTTTTAATAGAGGGCAGGGTCTGGAGTGCCCGAGGCTCAACAGTCAACTGGGTCCTGGGGTGAGTGGATACCACAGGCTGCTCTGGGAGGGGAACTGGGTCCAGGGAAGAGTTACAGGTCTGAAGTCTGGGCGAGGAGGGTATGGGTTTGTGGTCCTGAGAGGTCTGGTGATGGAGCTGGGTGGAGCTTGATCCTCCCTGCACCCTTGGGGTCTCATGGGCCCTGGCATCCAGGGCTCTGCCCTGGTCTTGGTCTGGGTGGGCGGTAAGGGCATCCTGAGCCTCAGGTGGGTGGCCACCCTCCAGGATCCCCACAGGGGCCGGGGCAGATCTGTCCTTTGGCTCTGCTGTCCCCGTCTCAGCCAGTTGCCCCAGGACGGCTCCTGCTGTGCTGCCTAGACCCGGACTCCTTGGCAGGCCAGCCATGGGCCGGGAAAGCCAGCTGGAAGGGGAGCTGCGCTCAGCAGGCATGAGGCTACTTAGCAGCTCCACGGCCTGACTGTGGCTGGGCGAGCCCTCAGCCCGGGGGCTCACGACCACCGTCCGCACCGTGCGGACAGTGTTGCGGCCCCTTGGCAGGGCCTCTCCCGATGTGGACCCCACAGTCACAGAGCTGCTCACCCGCCGGTCCACATGGCCCCCCAACACCGTGGTGGTCCGCACAGTGCGTGTCACCTGCCGCACCTCGCGGCGGCTCCCACTGAGGAGACTCACGCCTGGGTGGGGGCTGGGCTCCCGGGGCCCATGCAGAGGCACCAAAAGCTCAGTCTTGGCCATGGCTCCCAGGCTCGGGGTCTGAGTCCTAGGGTCCTGGGGGCTGCCATCACCCTGGTCCAAGAGCTCCTTCGGCCTCCCTGCTGGCCTTTTCTCCTTAGTGAGTGGTGTGTACTTCTTGGAATAGATGGGCTCGTGGCTCTCAAAGTTCCTGGAGCCAGGCCCTTCCCGGGGGCCCTGGTAATTCACAGTTTCTTCCTCCCAGACATCAAAGCCATTGATCTCCTCCCGACGGTAGCTGTACAGGTCCTCCCGGTCGGCTTCCATCCGGGCCGCTGACACCAGGGACACCTTATGAAACTGGTGTCTGATCTCTTCCTGGGCAGGGGGCCGCTGCCGCCACATCAGGGTGGCGCTCACCACTCGGGCCTCAGCCCGAGTGGGGGGCCCACCTGCCTCCTCCATGTCGGGCCCCAGAGATCTGTCCTGAGGCGTCCTCGGCTCGCTGTGGTCCAGCTCCCTGCAGACGGTGCCAGGAAGAAGAGAGACAAGGTGGGGGGGTCTGAGGGTAGCTCTCCACAGTCAGGATGGCTGCCCCTGCCAAGGCCATGGGGTAACCTCAGACAATCATTTGCTCTTTCAGACCTTTGTTTCCTCATCTGTGAAATGGGCATGACACTCACAGCTCTCCCACCCTCTCCTCACTTTCAAGTGATCTACAGCAGTATCCTTCACGGGGTGAAGCTGAGGCCTGAGCCTGGAAGAAGAGGGAGGGAGAGACCGCTCTGGCGCTGGTGAATTCTCTCACCCTCCCGCGCCTCTGACTATACCCAGTGCTTGTATAAATAAACAAATAAATAAATCTTTAAAAATAAAAAAAAAAAAGAGGGAGGGAGCAGGCAGGAGGAGGGCTCCAACCCACTGGCCTGTGGATGGGGCTGGGACTCTGCCCAAGGAGCCCTGGATCTAGTCCCCAGGAACAGAAAACCAGGCACTGACCTTTGGGAGGAAAGGGAAGGAAAGGAGGGCTTTGGCCTCAAGCAAAGCTGGGCCCTCCCTGGCCCTGTCACTCACTCACGACCAGATGCCCATGGGCAGGCTGCTTCTCCCCTTCGAGCTCAGGGTCCCCAGCCATGAAACAGGAATAATAGGAGTATGTGCTTCAGAGGATTATTGCCAGGATCCAATCAGAGAGACAATGAAAATTTGCTTTAAAAACTCAAATTCTGGAGCCTCCCCAGTGGCACAGCGGGTTGAGCGCCGCGCTGTGAAGCTGTTTATAGCCTCTGCAGTGAGGGTTCGATTCCCGGCCGGCCAGGGAGATATCCACATGGTGTGGCAGACCTCCCCTGCCTCGCCTGCTGCTCCCCTCAGCAGTGTCTTTGGTCCATCTGCCTGTTCTGCTCCCTCCTCTCTCTGGTGAATCCTCTCACCCTCCCATGCCTCTGACCTGTACCCCAGTTCTTGTATAAGTAAATAAAAAATCTTTAAAAAAAAATCTATTTAAAAAAACTCAAATTCTGGCTCATAATTCCTGCGGGACCTTTGAGAACCATGGCTAACCCTGGCTGCAGGCTCGTGCATGCTTGCATGAGCTTGCAATGCTGCTGTCGCACTAAGTGCACTCACATCAGTTGGTCGTAAAGGAGCCCTTCAGGGGCCTCCCTGGTGGTGCAAGGGGTTAAGACACAACCTATGAATCTGTCCGCAGCCTCTGCAGCATGAGTTTGAGCCCCAGCCAGCCAGGGAGATACCCCCATGGCGCAGCAGACTTCTCCTGTCTCACTTGCTGCTCCCCTCAGCAGTGTATTTCACTCAATCTGTCTGTTCTGTTCCCCACTCTGTCTCTGGTGAATCCTCTCACCACCCCCGCCCCACCATGCCTCTGGCTTTTACCCTAGCTCTTGTATGTATAAATAAATAAATCTTTAAAAAAAAAAAAAAAGGAGCCCCTCAGGACACAGTGCTTTGGACTTGAACACACTTTCCTTTGATTCTCCCCTCCCCATTGCCCAGATGAAGAAGCTGAGGGTTGGAGAGGAATGACTCGCCCAGGTGACTGAACTGCTAGGTTGCCACGCTGGGGTTTGAATACACATCTGAACCCCTGTTCAGGTGTTCTCCCACTTGCCCCCTCGGGCAAGGCTCTGGACACATCCTTCTATTCTGTGCTCTCTCCAGCACCCAACATCTGACCTTCACCCCTTGGGAGGGGAGGGTGTCTGATTTCTTTTCTGAACCTCCCTTAATCTCTCTGTGTCACCATACCTCCTCTGCTGAATGGGGAACAATGATACAATTGCTTAGGAAGACCTCTAAGCTCCCAGAAACTCCCCAGTGACTCTTTTTTTTTTTTAATTTTTTTTTAATAGAGGCATGTTTTATTTATTTATTTGTTTGTTTGTTTTGTTTATACATGCACTGGGTACAGTCAGAAGCACGGGAGGGTGAGAGAATTCACCAGAGCCAGAGAGGGGAGCAGAGCAGGCAGAAGGACCGAAGTACACTGCTGAGGGGAGCAGCGGGCGGCAGGAGAGGTCTGCGCGCCATGTGGGACCCTCCTCTGGTGGCCGGGGAGCAGCCGGGGATCGAACCGGTGCCACAGAGGCCGCGGGCAGCTTCGCAACCCAGCACTTAACCGCTGCGCCACCGCGGAGGCCCTCCCCAGTGACTCTTCCTGTTTTAAGAGTAATAATAAAACAATGACAACAGCAGCAGGCAGCAACCATGTGCATTGAAGGCTTAGTCTGTGCCAAACACCTTTCCATTCATCGCCCTGCTGAATCAGCAAAAGAAACCCATGTGTTTGATACCTCATAAAAATAAAGTATTAATTATAAAGAAACATTCCTATTTTGCAGATGAGGGAAGAAAAAAAGGCTCAGAGAGGTTAAGAAACTTGCCCAGAGTCACACAGTAACAGAATCAATATTTGCACCCCAATCCCCAGGGCTTAACCACCACACCAAACTCCCTAATGTATTCATCTGGAGGTTTACTTTTAAAGGGGGCCCCAGCAGTCAGTCCTAAAGGGGACATCCAGCCTCCACTCTGACTTCCAGGTCGCACCAACCAGGGCAATTCTCTTCTAGACTCCAGGGACACCAGGGGGCAACCTCTCATCCCTAACCTCAGCCACAGGGCAGCCTGCCTTCCCATCGGCTCCTGCTCTCCAGGGCCCCCGCCCGCCCCCCCAGAGCATCATAAGGGAGGTTCAGGCAAGAAGTGGACCCACTGCCCCCAAACTCCTCCCCTATCGCTACATTCCTCCCTCCAGAGTAGCTGGTAGAATCCAGAACTTTGACCCAGCCCTGTGGCCCCAGCAGTGACTCAGGTTTTATGAAAGGCACAGATGAAAGGGGCTGAGGCCCAGTGAAGCTGGCCCTGACTCTGGGACCACTGGTGGCGGTGGCAACCAGCAGCCTGGCCTCAGACAGGGTCTGAGTGGCCATGGAAAAGCCTGTGTGTGGGGAAGGTGGCGACTGAGATGGATTCCCAGTCCTTACCCCAGGCCAGAATTCCTGAGAGCAGGACAGACACCTTAGGCCGTGGGTTGGAGCTCTTCACTGAGCCCTGACCCAATGCACTGTCCGCACTAAGGAAGCCCTTTCTTCTAACAGAAACCCTGTCCTCCTCGCTGGGACTCACACCCATGGAGTGTCACCCCCTTGCTGATCCCCACACCTAGTCTCCCCTCCATTTCTGAATGACAATTATAACAACTACCATTCACTGAGAGTCCCTGTCCCTGAGAGTAAGGGGCAGAGCCTGGATTCTAAGTCATTCATTCATTTATTCATTCACTCATTGCTAATGGTGTTAGGTGATGTGCTAAGCCCTGGCTAGGTTGACCCAAAGCCAACTTTACCAAAGTGTTATCCTAGGAGTCCAGGAGGTCAAAGAACCAGACATAACAACAAGCATTTATTTGGAAGTCTCCATAGTAAAAGCAACAGAAGAGTAGTTTCAAAGGAAGCCACGGGTAATCAGATGAGATATTGTCAATGATCACCCACCAATCAGAATTCAATGCCTTTCTCAACCCAACCCCAGGCCAACACCCCTGATAGTAACTCATTCCACAAGCATGTGGTCATCTGCTTCTACTTGCATACCTGTAGGGACAGGGAGGTCACCATTTGACAGTTGACCTGTCCCATTCTTGGACAGCCATGACTGCTAGAATATTCTTCAGTCTATGCTGGAATCTACATACCTATAGTTCCCCCCTCTTGTCCTTGCTCTGAAGACACACCCTGATGACCCAGAATGCCTCTCTTAGGCCAGCAGAAGCACCCACTCCCAGAGTCCTCTCATCTCCAGGGCTCTAGACCAGAGTGGATTTGTTAGCAGGGTGACCTATGACCTCCCAACAAGGTGTGTGAAACTGGGAAGGGAGAGGCTGAGGAGGGGGCGGGGGGAGTGTGGGAAAGAGCCTTGTCTAACCCAACAAGTCCTGGATTCTCCCTGCTTACCTGTGAGTCACCCCCAAACTAGGCCAAACCAGTCCACAGGCCCAGAGGCCCGCAAACGTATGCTGTGTCACAGGCACATACAGACAGATCACGGGCAAACACACGGGTCCCACGGGCAAACACACCCAGGCACCCAGACACGCAGAGTTGGAAGCACACATAAGGTCACAGACACAGGCACCCAGAGACACATTGACGTGCAAGTCATAAACCCAGGAACACCCAGACACAATGACACACACATGTGTGTGTGTCACAATCCATACACATGGTCATTTCACAGCCCAAGTCCTCCTCTTGGAATTCTCCTACACCTAGACACAGACACGTGGCTGCACGTCTCACACATTTCTGCTCGCCACCCCAACTGTTTCCCACCTCCTGATGACCCAGAGAATCCTCCCCAGAAGGGGACATAGAAGGGTGATGTCCCTTCCTCCCTCTCTAGCTGAGCCCTCACCTCCTGCCTGAGCCTGTCATTGCCCTTCTGGGCCCCAGAGAGCCAGCGAGTGGCAGGTAGAGTCCAGCGCCTCCAGTTAAACTTCTGTTCCCTGCTTCCCTCTCTCCTCCCAAGGCCTCCTTCCTGGGCCCACCTTCCCTCTCTCTGCCATCCTTTCTCCCAGCTGGGACACCCAGGAGGGCCCACGGTTCCCTCTTTCTTGCCACAGGACCAGGTACCCCAAGCCCTGGAGGCTGGGCATCCCTGATGTGGCCTGCACTAGCACAGATGCACCCCCACAAGGGCAGCAAAACCCGGAGTCCGCACGGCAGCCACACACGACCCTGCCCTGCCTGCGCGGGGCCTCTTGGAGGGCAGGGCAGAGAAGCGGTTAGAGCACAGGTGCCTGGGGTTCAAATTCTGGCCCCTTCACTTTCTCATTGGCTTTGGGCAAGTGATGGAGTGATGGCGCCCCTCCTAGCCTGAGATCCTCTATTGTAATCAGGGGTGGGGAGCAAGCTCAGTCCTGCCGCATAGGGCTGATGCGAGGATTAAATAGAATTATGCTTCCCAAACAAGCCGTGCGCGACAGACACTCAGAGCTGCTCAGAGTTGGGGATCCCTTCCTGGTGGTCCTGGAGTGGTCCCATGTAGGCCCCTCAGTGAGTTTTAGGGGACCCACCTTCCATCTCTGAGCCCACCAGGCAGAGCTGGGAGGGTCATTTCAACACAAATAAAAGTCGAGGCTTGGGAGTCTGGGTGCCTGTGCCTGTGGCCGCCAACACAGAACCAGGTGGGGTAATTATTGCTGCGACTGAGGCTTATTAATAAGCATCCCTGCTATTTCGGCGGCCCGACTCTCTGGAGTTCAAAGCACGTTCCTGTCACCACCTCCTTCCTCATCTCCAGCTACCAGCTAACTCGGCAACTCAAGACCCAGAGAGGTTAAGCAACTTGCCCCAGGACACCCAGCACTTTGAGTGGATGCCTAATCCCAAGTTGGCTCTGTGGGCCCCTGAACAGGACAGAGGGGTGGAGGGTGCTGCTGAATAGGTGGCCCTCCCCTATTCTCTCCCTGACAGGACCCCACCACCACCTCAGGTGAGCAGAGGAGAGCAGAGGAAGGTTCCAGGAGGTAATCTGTGGGTGAGTGGAGGGAGAGGAGGGCAAAGTCGGGCAGGGAGGGGATGGCAGTGCCAGCTCTCCCTCAGGGAGCTGAATGAATGGGCCTTGAGGTGGAGAAGCCTGGAAGCGAGGCGGAGACCCAAGAAGGGGCACCCAGCCAGTCTTCCCTCCCACTGTTGCCCCTCATGGAGACGGGCCTCTACTCACTGTGTGTGCGGGGACCCAGGCGTCCGGCTGGCCTGGAGCTCCTCTCTCTGGGCAGTGCTCCCCTGACGTGGTGGGGCTCTTGGCCGGGGCTCCTGGGGCGTGTCGGTAGAGTACCCCGTGATGGGGCGGGGCCCCTGGGGAGGTTCCTGCCAGCCCCTGGATTCCTCAGGGCCGCAGGGGTGGGGAGCTGGTCCAGCCGGTTTGGGCTCCTCTCTGTCCTCCCCAGCTGCCTGTCTGCACTCCTGCAGGGTGACGGTGATGTGGTAGCGGGTCCTCCAGACAGAGGAACTCTTGCGTAGGGTCTGGGCTGGCACAGGCAGGGCCAACCCTGAGGTGACAGGCTCGCCCTTTGTCCCCTCTTCTGTAGGGATGCATGCTGGGTGGGGCAGTGTGACTTCCAGGTTGCCTGGTGGCTCCGGTCTCAGAGGGACCTCTGGGGCTGTGGCAGGGGGTTGAGGGCAGGTGCAGAGGGACCCGTCTCCCAAGCATCCAGGAGATGGCACCAAACATGAGGGGCTCCTGTCACCAGCAGGCTCTGCTGAGGCCACATCCACTCCTGGGCTCTCTGGCCCGATGGCGGCATAGCTGGCCAGGTCCGAGGCACTGCCCACCGCTGGCCTCTGCAGACGCCCCAGGGGCTGAGAGGGACCCCCTGAGCTGTGCCGTCTCTTCCAAAGCCAGGAGACGCGACTTCCTGCCAGAAGGTCCCATTCTGAACGACTCTGGGCTTGGGCCTGGGGGAAAGCAGAAGCAGGGGACCAGTAACAGCATCTCCTCCTGCCATCCAGATCCCTCCGAAACTCCCCTGGCTGCGCTGCTTGGCATGGGAGAAGTCAAGCAGAGCTCTGAGACTAAGTTGATCAGCCCAGGGTTGAGGAGAGGCTGCCAGGCCATGGGAGCTGGACAAAGGGCAGAGCTCTAGAAAAGCCCTCGAGCATTTAACTCACTCCTCCCCAGCCTGCAGAGGAGGAGAGCGGGGCCCAGAGAGGACACTAACATGGCTGAATTCACACAGTGAGGGCCCAATCTCAGGTGCCACATTGCTTCTTAGTTGACACAGGCACTCAGGGCCTAGCCGGGCCTCCAGAAGGGTGATAATCTCAGCCTCTTCACAGGGCAACAGCTGCTTCCCCAGGCATCCACCAGCCTTTGGCCCTTTGGCACCAGTTACCTTCAGGATTAGGGGCGTGGGCATGCCTGCCTCAAGTACCCATGGCCTCTGCCAGCTCCAGACTCGCAGAGAGCCTGCAGCCACCTCCCTAGTACTCTCCCAGTCACCTCCCAATCACACCTGGGAGGAGGTACCTGGGTATAGAGGTGTACCTGGGACCTGAGAGCATGGGGGAAGGGTTCCTCTAAAAGTGGGGCAACTTGACCAATGTCTACTGTCTTCTAAGGAGCCCACATGGCTGTGGGGTTGAGGGGAGGGCACTCAGGATCCTAAGCCCATGTAGACACTGCCCCTCCACCCCCCATCCCCCTAAACACACACCACTTTTCAGGGATGGGCTCGTGTCTTTGGCTGCAGAGGAGCCAAGCCTGGCTCAAAGTTCTCCGATCAGGGGCCCTTGACCCACATGCCTCATGTACTCATCTGTGAAACAGATGCAGCCTCTCATGTCCCCAGGGCTGAAGCCCTCAAGAAACAGGGGAGAGAGTAGTTAATGTTCACTGGGGGCCTGCAGCAAGGTGAATGTCTGGAATGCCAGTTCTGCCACTCAGCGGCTGCCATGCCGCCCGCCTGCTTCCCCATGGGCGGGATAATAACAGTACCTGCTTCCGGGAGGGCTGTGAAGATGGTGTGAGAGCCGGGCAGCGTACCCAGCACACAACGAGCACTCCATAAACGCTAGTAATTATGAATGGTATTTAGGACAACACAGGGACATGGGCTTGCTTGAGCCACTTCCAGAGGCGACGCTCTGACCCTCCAAGGGGAGGACATCCTGTCCAAGCCGTGGCTCGGGCCCCCGTGGACCTGACACTAAGGCCAGAAGAGTAGGCCACAAGCAGAGCGTCACTCCTCGGAGGTCATGCCAGGAAGCAGCGAAAAGGGGTCAAAGATGGAAGGAGGTAAAGCTAAACAAGGGGGTGTGGATAAGGGGGTCTGGGAATAGGCATTGTCCTTACCTGTCTCCCCCAAGAACCCCAGCATTAGGACGCTCATGTTTTCTGAGGACACAGGCGCCATGCTCGATGGCCTACGTCCACTCCTTTGTCACAACAGCCCTGAGAAGCTTCATGGTCCCCATTTTGCAGATGGGGAAACTGAAGTTCAGAGGCAGGTCTGCCCAGGGTACACAGTGAATCGGTGGCAGAGGGAGAGCGAGGGAACTCTGGTTGCCTGACCTGTAAGTCAGGGTTCTCAGGGCCTGCCCAGCCCCTCCCAGAGCTTTGGCCCCCTTCCTCCCTCCCTTCTCTGTCGATTCTTTCCTACCTTGAGGCTGACATTGCTGATGCTGTCCTGGCCCTGGGCCAGGTCAGGGCAGCTCCGGCCACCCCAGGGCCTGGGGAGGAAGCACAGGAAGAAATGAAGTAACTTTCTTCTCTCACACCCCCCCAGATTGGACCCAATGGCCCTTCCCCTGTTTTTCTCAGGGCCCACAGGCAGCATGAGCTCCTGAAACCTGGAGGGAGGAGAAGATGGCAAGTCTCTTCTCTAGTCATGCCCCCCACTCTCCACTCCATCACAGAGACAGAGAAAGAAAGACAGGGGTGCCTTTGGGACAGAAATGGTGATTCAGCCTGTTTCTGGCCACAGCCCCAATAATTCAAAAGCTTTCATTTGCTGAGGTTCTCCCTGTGCCAGGCTGGGTACTAGGGAGTGTGTTAACATGATATTCTTCAAGACTCACAATGACACTGTCCAGAATATCAGTGCACCCACTTTTCAGATAAGAACACTGAGGCCCAGAGAGGTAAAATGATTTGCCTGGAGTCACACAGCTAGTGAGATGTGGAGTTAGAATGCCAGGGCCATCCCACTGTAAAGGCTGGTTGGATATCACCGCACATGTGGGGCACAGGGGGGAATGTCTTGGCTGCCTCCTCCTCCTTGTACTCTGCTCCCACCACCCCCACCAAGGCAATCAGCAGGGATTAGAGGCCTGTACCTCAGTGCTAGAGTCCCATTCCCATGACTGGTGAGAACTGAATCCAAGAGCATGCACAGGATGTGTCATCACGCTGGCCCAGGAGCCTGCAGTGCCCTCCCCACCCTGACTCACCTGTACCCCAACTCCACCTCCTCTCAAGTGAGGAAAGGGAGGGGCAGTACTACCTGGGCCTATAGGGCAGGTTCCTGCCAGACAGGGTAAAGGGGGAGGGTGTGTCTTCTGGGCGGGGGTGGCCAGGACACTGGCAGCTTCTGGGCACCCCCCCCAAAGTTTCCAGCCCGAAGTTGTCTAGGCCCTCCCTGCCCTCTCACTTTGGGGTGAGAGAGCAGTACCCCATCCCTCACTCTGCCCCTGCCACACCCCCACCCCTCCCAGGGCAGGCTGAAGACAGCTGTGTCACGATAAGATCAAAACAAATTGCCCACTAACTGCGTAGACACACAAACATCTCGTGCCTGAGAGCACACCTCACGCACTCCCAGACACCAGGCCCATGAGCTACCGGGGTCCTCTTCACCGTCCCCTCCCAGCCACCTGGCTCTGTAGTCTCCTTTTACTCAGATATGAGGTACCAGTGAACACAGGACTTGGGAAGAAGCCACATGTTCAAGGTAACATGGCCAGTGGCAGGAGGGTTGAGATAGAAGTCTGCCCCGGGGCCTGCAGCTGCAGTCTCCAAGGCAACAGTGCTTCCAGGTGGGCTCTGGAGTCAGAGGCTTAGCCGGTCTCCCTGTACCACCTCTTCCCAGCTGACCTTGGGCAGGTGACATCACCTCTCTGAACCTCATTTCCGATTCTGAATCATAAGGAAAACCTGCCTCATAGAGCTGCTGTGGATTAAATGAGATAACGCAGCCAGAGTAGGAAGCAAGTGGCAAGGAGGTTTGTGGTCGCTACAATCCAGGGTGGAGGGGGAGCCTCTCCGGGGCAGACACAGTACCCCTCGGACAACTCCGGAACCTGTCACCCCTCACGACAAAAGGCCTCGCAGACCAGCGCAAGCTGAGGCTCAAAGTCCACAGGTGGAACGACCTGCTACCTTCACCTTTAAACTGTCTCTGGAGAGGAAATCACCGTGGACAAGCCTCCTGGCCGGCGCAGTTTTAGTTTCAAAAGCGCACAGGGACTTTATAAAGACGCTTCCCACTCCCCTTCCCCGTCGTGGAGCCTGGACAGTGTATTTTTATGCTTCAAGACACACACACACACGCCCCTTTCCACATCCACGACAGCGAAGACACCCCCCCCCACACACACACACCTACGGCCAGCAGCGCCCCCGCGCGGCCTGCAGCCCCTCACCTGTCCCGGCCTTTGGTCTCGGGGGTTCGCTTCCCAAGGCGCTCCCTCCAGACGGCCAGGCGGCGGGCCAGGCGGGAGCCCAGGCTCCCCCGCCGCTGGGCCATGGCGAGGGCGCGGTCCCGGATTCGGGGTGTCGGAGCCCCTGACAGCTCCCGGCCGCGAGCGCAACCCGGATCCGTTCATTAACGGAGAAACGCCTTCTCCGTCCCGCCCAGCAGAGCAAACGGGGCCCCGCCCGCAGCCCGTGAGGGCAGAGGACACCCTGGGGCTGCGCTCCGGAGGGGACCACCCCACCCCGGGCCGCGCCCCTGCAGCCCCCATCCCGAGGTCCCGCTCGTGGCCCGTGGGCGCTCCTTCCTCAGGCCCGAAGGCAGCAGCCCCGCGCCCCGCCGCGCCAGCTGGGAAGGGCAAGAGGGGGCTGCGGCGGCGGGAACCTGGGGGCGGGGCCGAGCAGGGGCTTCCACCCGGGAGGAGGCGGGGCTAGCGCGGGGCGTGGTCAGGGTCTGGAGTGGGCGTGGTCTTCCGGGCGGGGCGGGGCCTAGCCCGAGTGGGTATCTTCTGGCTCCGCACCTGAGGGAGTCAGCGCCTGAGCTTGGGATCCGGGCCTTGATCACTGGTGGGGGTCGAAAGCCATCCTGCCATGGCCCCCACCCCCACCCGCCATGAGGATTCCCTTCATCCTGGAGAACCTTACACAGGCGGAACGCTTGCCCAGTACATGAGCATGGGCTGTGAAACCAGTGGTGCGAATGGGCCCCCTGCTGGAAGTTGGCCCGGAACCCCACTCTCTGTATATCAGTATATTATTTGATAACAGCAACTGCTTATTATTACTACATCCTGGGCCTCCCGACTCCCAGGCAGCCCCCTTCCCCACTGATGCCAACTCTTTAATGCTCCAAGGGGGTGGGGTACACCCCCATTTGAGGGGAGCCTCTGGAACTGCAGGGAGAAAGGCCACCCCGAGGCTCCAGTTCCCCAGGCTCTGTCTGCCAGTTCTGCCCTGCCTGAAGTCCTTGTAGGGCCTCCACCCCTCTCCTGAGCTTGGCATCCCCTTAGTGGTTTGCCCTCTGTGGTGACTGGTCCTGGCACACTGTGGACATTGCGATTCTGGGTCATGAGTGGACACTGCCGTCCTTGTGTTCCTGCTCCTCCACCCCACATGGGCTCAGGTTCTGGCACATACAGAGGGAGGCGCACACCCCACCTGACCGGGGCAGGAGTACCAGCTGAGGGGGCATGGTAACTCCTAGGAATGACAGGCACTGGAGCCTCTGTTCAGAAAAGAGGGCAATGGTGCCTTGCACTTACCAGCACAGTCTCCAGCCCCATAGAGTCCCGGAGGAGTAGACAGGGTCCACTGGTGGGCTGAGATGGAGGACCTGGTCGCAGCTGAGAGGGAGCAGAGCCCAACCCAGCCCTGCAGGTAAGTGGCTGCAGGTGGCCACCCCAGGCACAGGCAACTCTTCCTGGCTGTGTCCCCTGAACTATGGAGTGTGGTCTGGCAGATACACAAGGCTTCTCCCTCCACTATTGAAATTTAGGTGGTCTTGGGCCTCCCTTGGTGGCACAGGCGGCTGAGCACAGCACTGTGAGGCTTTCCACAGCCTCTTAGTGCGGGTTGCATTCCAGCCAGCCAGGGAGATGCCCACATGGCGTGGCAGACCTCTCCTGTCTCTCCCGCTGCTCCCCTCAGCAGTGTACTTTAGTAGATCTGCCTGTTCTGTCCCCCACTCTGTCTCTGGTGAATCTTCTCACCTCCTGCACATCTGGCCTATGCCCTGGTTCTGGTATTAATAAATCTTTTTAAAAAAATTTAGAATGTCTTAGGTCATCACAGGGAAAATCCTTTAATTGCACCACCCCTGCCCTCTCCCCAGGGCAGTGTTGGCCCCACCTCTCAGGCTGCTGGTCCTTGCTTTCCCTGGGATGTCGAAGACGACTTGACCTTGTCCACGTCCCTGCCCATCTGCATCTCTGGTGGCACTGCCACAAAATCTAGTGCCCCCGGATGCCATCGGGCAAGGCAGGTGAGGGATGCCAGGGGCAGGTGGGTGTGAGCTAGGCGGTGGGGCTGTGGGGTGTGCAGCCGGTGGTGCAGCTTCAGGTGAACGTGCTGGGTGAATTGACTTGGGCAGACACTGCACTGGAAGGGCCGGGCCCCAGAGTGCAGACGCAGGTGGGTCTTGAGGTTGCTGGAGCTGCTGAAGCACTTGTGGCACATCTGACAGGAGTGAGCACTGGCATCAGCTCTGCCCTCCAGGCTGGCTCAGGATCTCTGCTCCCTCTCTTCATCTTGGAACCACCCCTTCCCCACAACCATCTCCTGGTCAATGCATTCCTGGAAGCTTCTTCCTCCCTCCCTCCCTCATTTCTCCTCAGGCCCTACATTGGACCCGGCCAACCTGGATTCTTAGACGCTGTATGACCTTGTGTAGGTGACTTCCCTCTCTGAGCCTTTCCCTCCTACTAGTAGCATGTGGCTGTGCCTAACCTCATAGGTGTGGTTAACTGAATGACATCATGACATAGAGCAATGCAAGGCGCTGCCACTTGAGTGTAACATTTACTGGGAGCTGCCACATGCTGGGAATTGGTCTCATGTAGTCTTCCCCCAGGACCCCAAAGAAGCATGACTAAGTATTAGTACTACTCCTATATTACAATGAGAAAGCAGAGGCTCAGCAGAGTGAAGTAACTAGCCAGAGGTCACACAGCCAGCTCGAGGCAGAGGTAGAATTTGAACCTAGGCAGCCCAGGCCCCTAATTATTCCACTGCTTTCCAATCTGCCTTTGTAAACCAAAGAATCCCTGTCCTTCTGACCTCCCAAAGAAGGTGTGCGGCTTAAAGAGGGAGGGAGCTAACTCTGCGGTGATGTTACCCATGGTGTTGGTATTTGTACACACTCTGGCATTAATGCCTCCAGCAATTCTGAGACATAGGTAGTGGGTATCCATTCCCTGAATCCCCCACAGACATGCCTTTCCATTTGCCCCACCGAGCCTTCCAGGTTGAGAGGGGTCGTCCGGCTCCTGTACCTCCCCACCCCACCCTGGCCTCCTGTCCTGTCTCCACTGGCTCCGGAGGAGTGGGGAATGGAGGCTACAGGGGCCACCCTCCCCAGAAACCCCTCACCAGCCTGCAGGAGTGAAGGGAGGGGCAGAGGGCGGGCTCACCGGACACTTGTGGGGCCGCTCCCCAGTATGCACCAGTTGGTGCTTCTGCAGGTGGGCGTACTGGGTGAAGCTCTTCTGGCACAGGGCACACTGGAACGGGCGCTCCCCACTGTGCACGCGCAGGTGGACCTGAGCCAGGTGTGGGGAGAGGCTGCCAACTGCCCGAGCCCCAGCAGGGTCGGGACCCTCTCCATATGAATCTCCACCCACATCCCCACGGGACCCTTTTTTTGTCATCAAGGCCTCTCAAGCCCCTTGCTTCTCTATCACCCCCTCAAGGCTTCTCTTCTGTCCTCAGGACACCCCACTCCTGCTGCCCTGCCGAGGGAAGACAGCAGAGGTCAGGAGCCGGGTAAGGGACGCCCTAGGAAGAGACATCCTGACAGGTGCTTTTCAAAGTGTGGTGTGCGCACGCGCATCAGCATCTCCGGGAGCCTGCTGGGCTGGACCTCAGGCTGCATCCACCGCAGACCAGCCGAGTCAAAGACCCGTGGGGCGGGGCCCTGGGAATCTGCACGGTCACTAGCTCACCAGGTGTTTCGAGGCGCTTGGAGGTTTAAGAACTCAGGCCCTAGAGGATCTATCAATAGCAAGGCTCTTCCCCGAGAGCCATAACTTTTCCTCAAATTCAGCGAGGGCTTCTTGCGCACAGCCTCCCGCGGGGCCGCCACACGCGGCGATGCGCTCACGGTCGCCGCCTGCTGGACCACGCGGGAGATGACGCCAACAGCGTGCCGTCCTGATTTGTGGGATCCCACTTGAGAAAGGCTGGTTGTCAGGTCTGTGGTCTAGACTCACTAAAATCTACCCGTTTTATCACCTGAACTTCAGAAAAACAAAAGGAGACTGAACCGGGAATCCAGAAATGATGGTTGTTCAGGAAACGGCTTTGCATTAAATGTTGAGAGTTTGAGATCAAGGCCTAACTTACTAATTTGAAGTCACCTTCCTGTTGGGACCCTCAGTTTCCCCACTTTTAACTTAAGTGAGATGATCTCATGGGCAGTCTTTTAGCGTGGAGCGGACTCTCTACAGAAGTGACCTGGAGAGGCCGGAGGAGCCACCCCAGATCACAGAGTAGAAGCCGCCCAGGCCTACCTCCTGGCATTACGGTGCTTGTTTCTAGAAGCAGGATGGAAGGGGGTCACTGAATGGTGCTGAGGGGAGCAGCGGGGTCTCCCCAGGGGGCAGATACCTTGAGGTTGGACAGCTGCCCGAAGTTCTTGCCACACACGTTACACTCGTACAGGATTCTGCCGTTCTCTTTCTTCAGTGGGTAGGGCAGCGGGGTGGTGCCTGCCCGGGACCCCGAGGAGACCCGCGTTGCTGGAGCCACCCCGCCAGCCCTCTGCGACCCTGGGGAGTAGGTCCTGGCAACTCTGGGGCCTGGATTCTGGGCCTGGGAGGGCGGGGTATGTCCAGAGGCTTGGGAGAAGGAAGGAAGCAGGGTCCCCTCCGGGGCACGATGGTACCCAGGCTCATCAACACTCTTCAGCAAGCTGGGCACAGCCATGGTGGTGTCGGAGGCATCTTGGGGCAGCATGAAGAGAGGGGAACACTGGGCAGAAGGTAGGGCCCCATAGGCGAGCAGGTAAGGTGGCGGCAGGAGAAGCGGGCAGGCGGGACAGAGGGAGCGGAAGTGGAACGGGAGATCTTTGAAGACAGGAGTGGGAGTGGGGCAGGTGCAGAAAGCCCAGGGTCTGGGCCCCTTTCTCTTCTGCTGGGCAGTGGGAGACGTGCTTTTGTGAGGAGAGACGACGGATGGGCAGGGGGCCCCCTCGCCAGCTCTTTCTGGCTGGCTTCCCGTCTTGTCCCTGGCTGGAGGGTACTTGGCTGTGAGTTTCTCATCATCTGTGGAGCTGGCAGGGAGCCCTGGTGCCTGGTGCTCTGAGCAGAAAAGGGAAGACGGTCAGGGTCCCTCAGCCAGGGGGTACGGTTTTGTTCCCCGTCTAACCTGCCTGGCTCAGGGTTGGAAGTCACAGCCTGTGGGTGACTTGGGAAAGGCATTTGTTTTCCTGGCTGGTGCCTGTGCCTGCATACCAAGAAAAGCAGTCAGCATTGTGCAGTGCTTGATAATTCTAGGAAGAGAAAATGGTTCAAGAAGCCTATGAGACACCAGGTGGGGATGCCAGGTGGGGTGAACTGGTTTGGGGCTGAAAGGAGAGGTTGGAGCTGGATTCATTGAGGATGGATCTGGGTGCCGTGAACCCAGGTGAGATCATGAAAATGACACTAGATCTGCTGTATCCCAAACTGAGGATGCTTGTAACTACATTTAATTAAAATTCGTACAATAAAAATATCAGTTCTTCAGTCGCACTCACAACCTTGAAAAGATCCAAGTATAGGACCTCCCTGGTGGTGCAAGGGGTTAAAATGCAACCTACGAAGCTATCTGCAGCCTCTGCAGCACGAGTTCAATCCCCGGCCAGGGAGCTACCCACCTGGCGAGGCAGACCTCTCCTGACTCGCCTGCAGCTCCCCTCGGCAGTGCATTTCAGTCGACTGCCTGCTCTGTTCCCCGCTCTGTCTCTGGTGAGTCCTCTCACCCCCCACACCTCTGGCCTGTACCCCAGTTCTTGTATGCATAAATAAATTAGAAAAGTAAAGATCCAAGTATAGAAAGTTTCCAAGATGCAGGAAGTTCTAGCAAACAGCACTTCTGAGATAGAGAACAGGAGCGGAGAAAGAGGCAGGGAAGGCAGAGAAGGCTCTGGACTGACTTCGGGGATTTTTCAGAGGTCAGGAGAGAAGAGTTATCCAAGGAGACTGAGCCACAAGGGCCAGTACAGTCAGGTTAAGCTTGGAGTGGTAGAAAGGAAAATACTAAAAAGAAAAATACTAAAAAGTATATTTCTGCTTGGATCCTCATTTATTCACTTAGCCCATCGATCTGTTTCATGACATGCTCTGTGCGGGGTCCCAGAAATAAAGGACATGGCAGCCCCCCTGCCCAGAAAGTCACAGTTGCATAGGAAATGGTATATCACGATGCGCAAGCCGAGACGTGGTCAAGGTCACAGGGCAGAAAGGGGAGAACCAAGACCCCACCCCAGGCTCCATGACTCCCAGTCATGCTCTTATAATAGAGATCCCTCCAGCTCAAACACCCTGGACTTTGGCCACCCCTACACCAGCCTCCCCCCCCAACACCCATGCTTGAAAAGTCACTTCCCACTCTTTTGGCTCAGGTGCGACCCTCTTGTAAGACCCCTGTGCCCCAGGTAAGAACTCCAGCCCCAAACACGGCAGGAAATAAAGTGTGCTTCAAGCTCTGTCCTCACCAGCGACATTGGACTCCCCGGCCCTCATCCTAACCTAACTGTGCCCCCCGCCACCACCTCAGCTCCTACCACAGTGCAGCCCTGTACCCTGGGCTTACTTCTGCTCAAGACATCCTGTCTGAGACGCTGCGGGGCTGGGCCCAGGTGTGCAGGCTGCAGGGTGCACAGGTATAGGTCCGGGCCCTGAGGGCAGGCCAGCAGGGTGGGCCTGGTTGGTGCCAGTGGCATGGGGCACAGCCAGCTGGTGTCGGACAGGCCATCGGTGTCCTCTGTGTTTGGAAGTGACCTGCAGGCTGGGAAGACCTGGAGGGCATGAGGCACGGGTTTGGCACTGGGGGCCAGACTCCTGGTCTCTGGGACAGGACTATCCCAGCTTGGTTTTCGAGGGGGTAGAAGCTAAGAGTCTCCCCCGCCAAGTCTGATGGCTTCCCCTCCCCCTCAGCCAAAGATTTCCCCCCCAGGGATTTTGTTATATATCCCAAACTTGCCCTCACCTGCAAACTAAAACCCCTCATCTAGCCCTGTGCCCCCTCCTTCCAGGCCTTCCTGACCATGCTGGTCCCACTGCGCCCAGACCATCTACTGCATTTTGAAAGGAGCCGAAGTGAACTTGGAGAAAGACCTCATCAAGAGTGTAATCCCCCGAGATGGACCTGAGCCCCCCACCGCCGCCCAGGCCAAGCCTCCACATGGCACAGTCCCTCCTCATTCCCCACAGACCCTGGGCATGAGTGAGGGTCTCTGGCACGTCAAGGGCACATCTCCAGGATGAGCCAGGGTAGGGGTGCCAAGGGGTAGGCACCCCACTTCCTCCTGACATCCCCACAGGCTGCCCTCAAAGCTAGGACTGGGCCTCCACCTTACCTGGTCACCTGGGCTGAGCTTCGAGTCCAGGCTGGGGGTCAGGGAACCCCCTGTACTCCCCAGGGCCTTGGTCTTGTGGCAACAACCCAGTTCTGGGGCAGGCTCTCCCTTCATGCCCACGCTGCCTGCTGGGAAGACAGGACAGTCACAGGTGAACCAGGACTCCTCCAAATAGCGGCCCGGCTTCCAGGGCCACCTCTTCCCCCGACCCACTGTGCGACCAGGAGCCAGTCATGGCCCCTCCTGGCCTCAGTGTCCCTATCTGCAAAATGGGAAAGCGGAACAACAGCTGTGTAAGGACATTTAGAAGCCGCTGGTGCCCTCCTGGTAGGTGTAGGACAAGGACTGAGAGGGGACCAGCTGGTCAGAGGTGAGGAGCAGAGCCGGCCTAATCCCCTTCCCTGGGGAAGAGAGGAAGATCCTCATGGAGATTATTTCCCAGTAAGCGCAGAGATTTGCGGGAACATCCCAGACTTCCTCAGGACCTCGGGGAAGTGGGAACCGACTGGGTCTCTTCCATGATGAAGCCATCAGCCATGGGCTCCCCTAAGGGGAAGTGTTCTAGCTCATTCATACAGCTTTTCAGGGTGACTGAGGAAGCCCCAGAGTCCTGCCACTGACCGCCCAGGTTCAGCCCTCTCACCAGGACACAGGGAATGGGCCAAGTGTCCCCCAGGGGCCTGTGGCTGGCCCGGGAGCCCCGCAGTCTGCTCAGGTAGCACCTGCTTCTCTGCCATCCTCCGCCGAAGATCTCACTGCACAGAAATCCCCCCAGCTCAGCAAATGCCTCAGGACCTCTCTCCTCCCCTCATCACTTCCCCTCCCTCCTTAACCCCTGTGGCAACAGCCCCTCGGCCCCTAGCACCGTCTCAGCCCTCCAAACCCTGCCTCTTTCCCCTTTTCCAGATCCTCCCATCCCTGCCCCAGGTCTCAAAACACAGTCCCCCCCGTGCAGCTGCCACAAGAGGCACTTCACCTGGCTCCGCAGTAGTCCCCACGACGAGACAGGAGGAGAGGAGGTGGGCAGGCGGGCAGCAGCTGCTGCCTGTGGTTGAGGCCCCAGTGGGTGTGAGAGATGACAGGAAGGTGTAACATTTGAAGTTGCCACAAATAGGAAGAGGGGGGCAGGCAGGCAGCTGGGGGTTCCTTTAGACCTGATAGGGGAACCGCCCACCTGCCTTTACCCACCTGTGGCAGCTCTGCTTGGCAACATGGGCAACGCACTGACTGCTGGACTGTAGTGAAGTGAAGGCTGTGAGGGCTTCAGTGTGGGGGTGGGGTGGGTGCTGTTTGGGGGACTCCAGAAGGCTGAGCAGGAGAGGTGCAGAGTCGGGGCTGGAGCTCTTTCTGGGGGTAGGGGGTAGTGATGATGGCAGGGAAGATGGCCATGGTGACAACGGGGGTAGGAACCGGCAGGGACAAGCGCAGGAAACACGGGAGACAGACGTGGGACAGAGAAGAGCAGGGTGTGACCTTAGAGCAAATATGTCCTCCCCCCTCCTTCTCCCCCTCTTTCTCTCCACCTCCTCTCACTCCAGTCTCCCTCCCCTGGGAAACCCTTTCTTCCAGATGGAGAACTGAGACACCCCCCCCCACCCACCGCCGCCCCGGGGCAAGAGAGAATTCAAGGACTGGCAAATTGCTTGTGAGGCATTACTGGGTACCAAAGGGGAGGTCCCAGTGGCCAGGAAGCAACTTTTAGGCCAATTTCATTGTTCCTGTAAGCAGAACACCCCCCCCCCAACCAGGCCTCACAAGTTCCACCCAGCGGTGTGTCCATATGGTCACACCACCCTGGCTGCTTCATTTCTGCCCTCACGCTCTCTTTCCCTGTGCCATGCGCCCAGTGTCCAGACCATGCTCCCCAGCCTTTATGGAGGTGCCCCTCCCATGGCACCCCTTGCAGTCTTGGTCCACCCAGACTCCACTCCCCCAAGGCTAGAGCGCCCCCACCCTCCAGGATCACAAGCCTGCCCCCCTGCAGCCTTGCCAGAATCACGGGGAGCAAGGGTGTCGCCAGCCACCCGCAGAAGACCCCACCCACATTGCCAGGGGAGATTCACGTACACCTTCGGCTTTCATCTGCCAACTCCATCCCCTCCTGGCATCACACTCTGCTCCCAACTCTCAGAAAAGTCTGTAGAACCTCTTGATTAAAACAGAAAATGGAAGTGGCCTTGGAGATTTCACATCTCTGGCCCCTGAAAGGCTTGGCTAGGAATGTCTTGGGAGGAGGGCTGAGGACCCAGGCCCTCAAGTTCCCACCTGAAGAACCTCTACCTGCCAGCCCTTTCCCCGCCCCTCTGCCTGGAGCCCTGCCAGCTCCTCTGTCCTGCCAGGTCCACTGTGATATCACTGGCCTGACTGTGAGGTCACCACATCCCTCAGGGGTAGCCCAACAGTAGGACCATGACCTTCTAGCCAGGAGCCTTTGCAGATGTCTCAATCCAGATGACAGGCCTAGGGCTTAGGAAATGCTCAGAAGGGAAAGTCAGGCTGAGGCACTTTCGGGGTGAGTGGGAGATACTGGGGAGGACTCTGAAAAGCAGCAGCATCTGGAAGAGGGGATAAGAGCTAAAGGGGTGGGCTGGTCCCCAGCTCCTAAGCTCACTATGGACTGACTTTTTTCTTTGCGTTAATTACCTAAAAATGCATGCTTGTGGTGAGCATTCAAGCGACAGGGAATGCCATGGCGCTCCCCTCCTTCATAATTTCCCAGAAGCCAATGCAACTCTTTGGTATTTGTCCTTCCAGACATTTCTCTATGAACCTGTGAACTGGTAAACAGACTTAAATTTTTTTTAAGATTTATTTATTTATTTATTTATACAAGCACTGGGTACAGTCAGAAGCACGGGAGGGTGAGAGAATTCACCAGAGCCAGAGCAGGGAGCAGAGCAGGCAGAAGGACAGAAGTACACTGCTGAGGGGAGCAGCGGGCGGCAGCAGAGGTCTGTGCGCCATGTGGGACCCTCACCTGGTGGCCGGGGATCAAACTGGCGCTGCAGAGGCTGCGGGCAGCTTCACAACCCAGCGCTCAACCGCTGCGCCACCAGGGAGGCCCTGGACTTAAATTTTTTGATACAAAAATGGATTATACAAATCATACTGTTCTGAAGTTTTTTTCCTTCCAACAATCCAGTCATCATTTCATTCCAGAATATACACACCTGTTTCCTGTTTTTCTTCTCCTGGCTGTATAATGTTCCATTGCGGGGATAGACAGATATGTAGCATTTTTCTACTGGTGGACTCCAATTATTTTCCTTTTCCACACAATACTGGGAAGGACCTTATACAGAGGTAATACACAGAGTGTTTCACAATATATACTCTGCTAAGGGCCTCCCTGGTGGCGCAAGGGGTTAATACACAGCACTATGAAGCTATCCACAGCCACTGCAGCAGGAGTTTGATCCCCAGCCAGGGAGGTGACCCACATGGCGCAACAGACCTCTCCTGTCTCGCCTGCTGCTCCCCTCAGCAGTGTATTTCAGTCAATCCATCTGTTCTGCTCCCCACTCTGTCTCTGGTGAATCCTCTCACCCTCCGCCCCTGCACTTCTAGCCTACACCCCAGCTCTTATATGCATAAATAAATAAATCTTTTTAAAAAAATAAAGCATATATACTCCGCTGGACTTAATCCCAGCTGTGTGATATATGGCAAGTCACATGATTTCTCTGCATCTCTTTCCTTATCTGTCAAATAGGAATAACATAGTACTTGCCTCAAAGAGTTTTTTTTGAGGATGCCTAGAGGTAACTCATGTATAGAACAGTGCCAACCCAAAGCAAGCTCTTGACAAATGTGGATCATTGCTAATATTGTATGTCAATTTCTGCCTAGTTAAGCAAGTGTCTGCAAGTCTAACACCTTTCTGAAAGGTGTTAAAATTCTGAGGGATGTTCCCTGCTCACTCTGGAAGACCAGACTTTGGGTAATACACTTGGAGAGGTTAACTCATTCAGTTCCATTGCTTTATTCATCACTGGAACAGTTGATGAGTTGGAGACCACTGCAACCTGGTCCCCTCCAGCCTCCACAATTTTGGAGCCACAAAGCCACAATTAAAGCTTTGGGGATTGGAGGCCTTACCGTGTACCCAGACCCTGCAAAATCCCTCCATAACATAACGACTCTCCAAGACGATGCTGTTAATCCCATTTTACAGGCAAGAAAGCTGAGACTCAGAGAAGTCTCAGGGAGTGGCTCAAGGTCACATGACCTAATTTGGGCCTGAAACACCCAGGAGAGGAAGGAGAGTCCAAGGAAGAATTGCTGCAGAGGTGCAATTCCACAAATATGAAGAGGTAAAAATGCCACAAATATGACACCGTCGAGTCTGCATTCCTTTAGGAGCCAGAAGACCTCCTACCCCCGAAAAATCAAGATGGAGTAAAGTCCAAGTTAAGGGTTTTGGGGAGTGAGCTCTGAAATTAGTTTCTGGCACTCTACAAGCTCCCCAAACCTGTCATGGATTCAGTTTACTCACTCATTCACCCACATGTTTTTCGATTGCCAACTCTATGCCAGACATTCAACTAGTTGCTGGGAATACAGCTCACAAGAACATGACCCAGATCTGGAATTTTCTGTCTGGTTTTCAGAAGGCTTGCTGGTGTTGCTGAAGTAGAAAGTAGTGTGCAACTATCAGGACTTATTATGATCAGGGTAGGGGTTTGGAAAGCAAAGGAGAGCCAGGGCGTTGAGCTGGCGTGTGCATTCAGAAAGAGAAGCAGGAAAGAGTAAGAGAAAGAACCACATGCAGAAGCCCTACTTCCTCTCTGAAAACCTCAAAAACTTCTCCAATCCATAACCACGGCCACCTCTAGCCTTGAGACCAGCTGGCCCAGCCCCTGACTGGCTTAGCATGAGTCCAGGAACTCCATTGCATGGTTACCTTTGAAGGGTACCAACTGAGGGGGCCAGATCAGGAGAAGGTCTGGAACCATCATTGGTTCAAAGGGTTAAGCAGCTGTGTGGGATGTGACTCTGAGGAGAGGGTTGAGCTCAGCCCAGAGCTCAGCCCAGTCCACTGCACTCTACCTCCCTCCACTCTGCGGTTAACACCTCCCTCCCTCTGCCTGACACCCACTTATCTCATCATCCGATAGCCCAGCTGTCAGTCTGTTAAATGCAATGAGTTGGCCTTTGGCTTCACACCCCAAGGTGGGGAGATCCTGAGATAGCTCACATTTGCAGAAAGGGCCTGGAGGCTCTTGCATCTTCCCCTACACCCACCTCTGACCTTCCAGGCCTGCTGTGGACAAAGCCACCAGTATGTCTTCAAATGATGTATGAGGTCATCTTACACATTCTCTCAATGCAACCATTACAAGAGAGTGGGAGACAAAAAGATGTCATACAATATGCCTGCCATATATGTGCATGTCCTTTCCAGCCTTGTGTGGAACAGGGAAAGACTGGAGTCTACCTATATGTCCACTGTTAGAGGAATACTACATATTATGTACATCCATGCAAAGGAATACTATGCAGCCAGGAAAAAGCAAATAGTAAATTTATTGAGAGCCTCTTTGCAACCATCTCATTTAATCTTCCTTTAAGCCTTCCAAGGTAAGAATTATCAATGTCCCCATTTTGTAGATGAGCAAACAAAGACTCAGCAAGGGTGACCAGCAGCATCAACTCAAATGTCTACAGTAGCCATGCAGTTACCATAAATAAAGTGGTCCAGGATAACACAAATGGTGCCTGGATCTCAGCCTTGGTGTCAGGATATGATAGGCACGGATGGGGGTGGAGGCAAACCAGAGCGCATGGGCCATTCATCATAACAGCATAATTAGTGCCTAGAGTTGCCAGGGTCTTGACTTTTCTAGAGAATCTGAAAATCAGGATTTTTATGTATTGTCTCTAGATTTAAAAAAAAAAACTGATTCCATTATTTAAAGATAGTGTACATGCCAATCATAACAAGTTTGTGTGTTAGATTCAGCTGCCTTTGCCCACAGTCCTTTTCATGTTTCCAATTGTCTCCAAAAGATATGAGCCAGATAGTTTCTTCCAAATATTCCAAACATTCCAAACATTTATATCAATTCTTTCAAATTCTTCCCAAAAAAGTAGGAGAGGAACATTCCCAACTCATTCTATGAGGCTGATCTGGATACACCTTCGTCATGGGGAGTTGCCATTTTCTTGGCCCCTACTTACAGGCAGTCACCTTGGATTACATGTCCCAGTATGTAACAGACACCTTTCTTAACAGGGGAGCTACTGGGAACTACGGGTGGCACTGAGTGTCTGGGTTAACCTGAACACGCATTACAGACCATAAGCAGGCTCAGGTGCTCTTGCTTCTGCAGACTGACCTGCTCCCTGGTACTGCTGAGAAGGTGACACATGGAAGAGAGACATATAGAGACACTTGGAAGAGATACTTGGAAGGGGTGAGAGACATGTGGGAGGCTGTCCTTGGCAGAAACAGTGGGA